TTTTCTATTATAGTAGGATATAGTCTATAGTGACATGAATTAATACGGAGACTTCATGTTAGACTTTACCTATATAAATGCCTAAGTAAAATAAGCGACAGAGATCTTACGATTGGCGCTACTGCCCAGGCTGCCAGGCGTCAACTGTTTACATGACTGACCACCGATTAAATCCAGCAGGTTAATGGAGTATATAAAAGAGGAGTGGCCACTATTTCCTTCTTAATTAATCCTCATCATTGGTTACGTTAATTTTATTTTAGAGTAAAGTCCATCACCGGTCCTAAACTTGTACCGTTGTGTTATTCCGGTCCCTAAACTCGCAAATCGACCGTTCAGGTCCTCAAACTTGTTCGACTGTGTTATCCCGGTCCCTAAACTTATAGATCACTCGTTTAGGTCCTACAACTTGTTCAGTTGTGTCACCCCGGTCCCTAAACTTGGATTTGAATATCATCTGGGTCAAATAAGACAGTCTAAAGACTTTATATTTAAAAATAATTCATAACTTTTTCATGTGAATTCTAATGAAGAAAAACTTTATATCAAACTTGTAGCCCTCGACGCGATCTACAACTTTATAGTTGATATTTTTTTATTTTAAGTCATTTTTTGTCCCAAAATGTAATTTTAAAATTAAATTTCAAAATATATAAACATGCAACAAAATAATTTTGGGACCTAAACAGTTTTAATTCAAAAACTTTTCAACTACAAAGTTGTAAGTCGCGTCAAAGACTATAATTTTGATATAAAGTTTGTCTTCATTAGAGTTCACATGAAAAAGTTATGAATTATTTTTTAATATAAAGTTTTTAGACCGTCCTGTTTAGGGACCGGGGTGACACAACTAAATAAGTTGGAGCTAAACGAGTGATCTGCAAGTTTAAGGACCGGGATGACACAGTCAAACAAGTTTGAGGACCTGAACAATCGATTTGCGAGTTTAGGGACAGGGATGACATAGTGGTACAAGTTTAGGGACCGGTGATGGACTTTACTCTTTATTTTAAATAAATTTCTAAAATTAATCCTCACGTTTTAGCTAGTGAAAGGAAGGAGAGGATAAGATCAGCAAAGAAAAGGATAAGAGAGAGAGTAGAAATAGGAGATGAGGAGTTTGGGACTTGGGAGGATAAGTCTTAGTCCTCCTCTGACAATAAATAAACCGGAACTAAAGATGACCTTTAGTCCCGGTTAGCCTAAATATCATCTAGGGCTGATAGAGTTTTAAACCGGGAAAAAAAACCATCTTTAGTGTCGGTTTCTATTCAAACTGGGGCTATTGTGGTTTTTGGCCAACCCAACAAAGATGGTTTCTCCAGTAGGGAATATGTTTATTTGATTTTTAAAAAAAATTATACAAAACATTTTTTTAAATACATCGTTTAATAATTTAGAAAGTGTGCTCATAGTAAACGATCGAGGAAGTTGCAAAAGCAGAACACAGCCAAATTAGTCTAACTCCATTTGATTTACCTACTGAAACAATAGTACAACAATTATTCCTGTTCATCGAGTTTATAATTATTGCAACTGTTGACATTAATATATATTGAGGCGTTGATCAGCACAAACCTGTCAAGTTGACATTATTGAAGCATTGTTGGAGGCATTGATATATTAGCACAAAGCTGTAAATTAAGTTGACATTGAGATTGAGGCGTAGCGCAAAGCTGTCATGCAAGTTGACATTGGAACAGTCAGCATGAGGAGCGGTGAGAGCCAGAGACCTAGCAAGGAAAACAGTTCTTAAACGTCCATTTTGCACTTCTTTCAGTGAGCGCTGGTGTTTTGAGGAAATACAGCATTTCGATCATTCCGGTATTCCATCTTTCCGAAACCAACATTTCAGGCTAAGTTGTATTTTTATGCTCCATCATCTGGTATCGAGCAAGTTAGAAATTTGATAGAAAATAAAAAATACACTTCAGTAATCTTTTTGTTCAGATTGACTCTAATTGAGAGTATCTAGTCCTGGATCTTATCGTGCACTAGGGCAGGAGCATCCTGAGCATCATTTGATGACGAAACACGTGATGATAGTACGATTTGATGATAGAATAACAAAGAAAAGATAAAATTACCCTTTCAAATTTTATACTGCAATCTGATTAACTAAAAAATCAAATCAATCTACACCGATAGATCCTGTATACTTGCTGTATATATTAGCAGTATATTGTACCGTAAAAGTCCACATTCGTAGGGGCATTTGGTTGCATTGGTGCCCTGAGTGATGAGCATGAGAAAAAAAAATAACATGAATGTGTGTAAAAGAATCTATGGAAAATTTTACCTCATCAGGCATATGAGAGGGTTTATTATTTTTTTGGTAGCCTGGACAAGAAATGAGCCCGAGAGAATGAAATCATGTGAAAGCAAATCTTTACCTAATTAAAAATTTCGTAGTGTTTTAGTTGTCCTCTGATATACCGACCCTGAAAATAGAAAATAAAAAATCTAATCTAACTTTCCGTTAATTTTTTTAATCAGATCGCTCCCTCGCCATATCACTCCATCCCCATATCATTTACCTATTATAAACATTGATATCGTTTTTGTCGTACGTGGTCCGTTTCATTTTTTCGACTTCTCATCTCTTTTTCATCCGACTGCAGTTTGGAACATGTTTTGGTGCATAAAAACCAAAATGGCCAATTAATTCAAAGTTGATTAGCAGTTAATGACCCAATTAAGACGTTTAATGATCGAGCCGAAAATATTTTCTACTTGATATGTGGGCCTATAGGTCACAACCCAAGTAAGCTACTAGGCATATACATGCTTTACGTTTGTGCTTTCAGCGATAGGTTTCCAGACAAGCCAATGATTTGTCTATGCACTATGGTATTTTGGTATAGAACTACTTTGAATAATAGTTAGTTGTGCAATAGTTTGAGCATGTAACCCATATTCTGACTTTTTTACAACATTGATTGAGAATAGTGCCTCTGTTTTCAGTCGACCTATCTCCCGTTCATCAACCAGTTTCTCTGTACGTGACTTGTAACAGTGGTGAATCTAGGATGAAAATAGAGGAGGTGCTCCTAATATCCTATGTCCAACCCACAATGCAATAAAAACATTTAAAAAATATACATTTGTCGGTCTCATGCAAATATAATTTAAATTTTGTATATAGAAAAGAAAAAATAAACTAAGGAATCAACTGTCGGTACTTGTTAATCAAATACGATGGCATAAACACATAAAAATGCATCAATGACCTGCAGATCAAATTAAATATAGAGTTTAGCATTATAATTCCAATTATAATCACAAATAAACAGTTTCACTAGGATCTAAAACGTGTCTTGACATGTTGTTCTTATTTGTTGGATTTTTCATAGGACGAGATTATTGTTATTTTTGCAGGCAGGACCTTAAGACGTCCGCCTAAAAAAATAATAACTTATAAAAATCGCCCACACTTACGTACTCCCATATTACTCCCTCCCTCATCTCACACGGTACGCTCACTCCGTTCTCCCCGCCCCTCTATCTCCACCTCTCAACCTCACTTTCCCCTTCCCTCCCTCCCTCCCTCCCAATCCGACCGGAGGAGGGGAGGGCGATGACGGTGCGACGACTCCCTCTCTCTCCCTCTCCGCTCCTAGATCTGGCCAGGGGAGGAGGAGCGACGGCAGTGGCAGCTCCCCCTTTCTCTCTTCCCGCTCCTAGATCTGGCCGGAGGAGGAGGAGAGACGGCGACGGCAGCGCGGACGAGGGCGACAACAACGCCGTGGCGGCTCCCCTCCCCTCCCTCTCCCAGATCCGGCCCCTACGAGGAGAAAGGAGGGCGGTGGTGGCGGCGGACACCTCCCTCCCTCCCTGATCCGGCCGGAGTGGGGAGGGCGGTGACGGCGGTCACCGCATGCAACGGCAACGCTTGGAGGGCCCCCCCTCCCCCATTTTCCTCTCCCTCCTAGATCCCGCCAGAGGGGGAGGGCAGCAGCGGCGGCGGCGCGGCTGTCCCCTCCCTCCGGCCGGATCTGCCGTTGCGTGCGGTAGCGGAGGAGGCACGGAGGAGTTTGCCGGTAACGACGACGTTGTTTTTTTTAGTTTACATGTTGATTGATGTTAATTTGCAAGTTGATGCTATGGATTTGAATCCAATGCTCTTGTGTTGATGTATGGATGTTTATGATTGGATTTTGTTTCCTGGATGAGATTTAAGAGAATTTGTGATTTGAAACCCTAGGGAGGGGGCGGGGCTGGCGGGAAATTTTTTTGGCGCCAAGAGTATTTTCGCAAGCAACGCCTGGGAAGATTGAAACTGCTGCCTGCGAGCAGTGCTTTGGTCCGCCAGTAAAAATTGAGGATTTTGACAGGCCTTTAGATACAGTCGGAAGGTTTGGCCACCTACGAAAACGTGTTTTGGCTGCATGGAAAAACGTTTTTTTATAGTAGTGAATGGGCCAGGATTTGAGCCGCCCGAGGGGGGAGGGGGGGAGGGGTTGCTGTCACTGTGGAGGTGGAGCTCCAGCCCTAACAAACCCCAAAGGATACATCCGCCACTGACTCGTGAGTCCATGGTTAGCCGGACTCAAGTGCAACAGTGGCTACCTATTGATGATCCAAGCAACTAATTCTATTTAATTCTTAATTCAAAGTAAAATACCAACAAGTTGATATCTATATTCATTATCTTTTTTAACTACCCATACTTAAATCAGTAAAACTGAATTAATCAGGCTAAAATTTCATGAAAATTCTAAAACAATTTAACGGTATATGTATATATATGATAACCATATATATTATATTAACCTCTCTAGACCGCGTGAGATTGCTGAGAATTTCAGCGATGTTTTTGCAAAGAAGTCCTTACTCTTTCAATTAATTACACATTAATCCCTGCAACCGTCGACCATCCGTTCTACCGCTAGGCTCGATCTGGATGTCCACGTGTCCCGCTGTGCTGGCCCTTCCACTCCTGTGCGATCGTAGATAAAAACAGACGGCATGGATTTTGCCAACCGACACTAAACCCTAGCCGCCTCGCACGATCGCCCTTCTGCGCCGCCTCATCCTCAAATAAGTTATCATGCTTGCATATCCACGTTCCAGGTCTCGCTGGTAGAGTGGTAGCCTCGCGCCATGGGTAAGCCCGAGTGGCAACCGAAAGCTACAAAGGTGAAAATATAATCCAACTCGTCCATTCGTGTCCCTGACATGAATTCTGATCTGAATTGAACCTGAATTTTTGAACTCAACTTGATTTTTTTTTATTTGAACATGAATTTTTGCGTGTAGTTTGCGAGGTTGCATACATTGGGGCAGAAGGACGTCAAGCAACAACGAGATGATCGAACGGCGGACTTGGGCGGTGCGCCGGTGACACCGAGCGTGGACGTCGAGGCGCCGGCGAGGGACTACGAGCCTCCGGAGCATCTGGAGCTTCTCGTCACAGACCTCGGCGTTCTGCAGCCGTTAGCGAGGTGCTTATTAAGCTCTCTAATGTCGCAAAATTCAGGGACATATAAGGTAGTATTTGACAAAGTTTCAGAGATATACAGTGAATTTTCCTAAACATAGAGGAGTGGTGATGTTTCAAGCAAGGATTATTTTATAAACAGACAGTGAATACCAAAACCTCCATATAAAACCACATCATAACAATTCTTCAAAAAAAGAAAAACACTCACATGTGTCTAATATGATATTAGACAACCTCATAAAATTAAGATAAAAATAAAATTCATCGATCAGATGAAACTCACTAATATTGAAGAAAAAGAAGCGAAATTAACAATGTTCACACATATCAACTAGAGCTCTAAAATAAGAGATCGATCAGCTTTTCCTGGATGACTTTCAGTTCAATACTGGTTGGCCATTTTACTTTGAGAGGCTACTACTGAACAATCAAGCTTGTTTACCGACAAGGAACGGCATGAACGGATGAACATGTCATTGCATTTTTTTGTGTGTGCATTTCCATCCTTTAATTCCACATGTGATTCACATTCATGAGACTGAGAAACAAGACACTGGCCTCGAATCCTTGCAGATATTTCTATAAAATATGTGGAACTGACTGTAGTTCTGAAGAATCCATTGGCACAGTTAAGGTATTCACAGCCAGTCACACTAATAAAACTGTCTTCTAACTGGGTCTTGCACACAGTAGGGGCTTACATCTTGGACTTCACTAATCTGTAGAGTGCCAGTGAAATAGATTAGTAATAATAATGGAGTATCAGAATTGACGAATTTCTGATCTATTGTGAAAGATGTAGAACAAGTACCTATTTCTTATCTTCTCTTTTGTAGAATCACGGCTATAAAGTTGGTCAGCTGGTTCCCTGAAACTGTAGTACGTGTCTCACATACCTATTTCTTGTCTTGTCTTCTGAAGAATCACAGCTATAAAATTTGTCCGCTGGTTTCCCGAAATTGTAGTATGCATCTCCTGTAGATTAACTTACAGTCAGCTTGGCAGGAGATACAGCCCAAATCAGATTCTAACAGGGGATCGTTTTGGTTAACATGTGAAAAACAAACTTAAAATTTTGCTAGAAGGAAAAACAAAGTAACATACGAATAACATCTCTAGGACTGACCAAGTGACCATTAGATTGCAGGAGATGATGACAAGGATAGATGCAAAAGCAAGGCATACCTATTCTCATATGGCGGATGAGTGAAATCCTGTCCCATTCAGAACTATCTTTCCTTTTCCAGCGTGCCAACAACTCTGGATTACATCTTCTAATAATGAAAGACTCCAGAGAAGATGGCAGAATGGGAAACTCAAGGAAACGATGAGTTGTATCAAATTCCAATCTCTTGAGAGAGCAAAGGTTATTTACTAAAAGCTTCACCTCTGGTTTCAGTATCTCCAGGGTTTCAAGGGACGTTCTATTTTGTTGCATCCATTGCCAAGGTATGTTATCACGGCCAACAGAAATAATCAAGCATTTTGTGTAGTGTAATCTCCTAAGCGGCTCCCTTTGTAACATATCGGGGGTATGTATCCAGAGAGAGTAGACCTCCAGGGAGAACTCCAACACCGGATCTTCATCCACTTCATCATATCTGGCATACCCCTGAAGCCTCGGGCACTCTGTGATTTCCAGCCAATTGAGATATGAAAGGGCTCCAAGCCCACCCAAGGATGCCAAGCTAGTACAATCAGCCACAGCCATCTCTCGCAGTGACCTGAGACTCCGGAACACGTCTGACTGTGGAAGGGACCTCACCCTGCCGCAGTTACACAGACTCAATGACGTAAGATTAGTCAGACCAACCAGTGACTCCAGCAGTGGAAGCTGGAGGTCACCACACTGCACCATGGAGAGTTCCTTAAGTGTGCGGGGGAGTAGTACATTATCATCGTTTTCCCTCACTCTCAACCGGTAACACTTACCAATATGAAATTCTGCAAGATTATCCATTTCTGAAAATAACAAAGGAGCTCGGATCAACTTTTCACAATCAACAATCCTTAGGATACGAAGACTTCGGATATGGTGCTCCTGCAGTAGAAAGCTTTCCTCCAGAGAAATTAAATTTGAGCAGTTGCTGATGATAACTGAGATTAGCTTGGTTTCCTTGCTTTCAAAATCCATGTTGTTAACATGATGGTCATATATCCTTGGAAGGGTGGTCAATCCAACATCATTTACTTCTAACCGTGTCAAACTTGAAGGTAGAAGTGGCAGTTCCCCTAATTTTTTGCAACCTTCCACCACTAGAGTTTTCAGATTTGGGGGCAGGGAATTGCCTGATGATTGGTCGATCCGTTTCAATTCTGCAAGTTTGTGCAATTCAAGATGCTTGAGCCGCTGTAAATTTCCAAGAGCTGGGAGGTATGCCCAACTTCTACATTTTCTCAGCTCTAGTGACACCATATTTATCAGGCATGGATGGCTTAGCCAAGTTGGAAATCGAAGACCATTATACCCTGATATTTCCAGATTTTCAAGATGAGAATGTGGCTCAATACATTAGTAGTCTCAGACCAGTTTAAGGACAACGATCTAAGATATGATTTATCTCTTAGCTTAGCCTCAATAATCTCTTCATGGGTCCCAACATTCTCAAAGTTGCAAATCTGTAGCTTGCAAATACTGCTTAAATTCCTCAGTGAACTTATTCTGTAACCTTCCTTCAGTTGAATCTCAAAATTGTGCAATTCTTGAAGTGAAGTTAATCTGCCAACAAAAAATTCACCAAAACCGTTACTGCCATATGATACATACCGCAGATGAGAAAGGTTTTCGATATTATTCACTTGTTTCGGTGCTGTACTTATTCTTTTCACTGCAGTAAGCACTTGCAAATGATAGAGTTTAGAGATTCCATCTATATCCTGCATCCCAGAGAAAGAGATATAACGAAGGTGCTTATTAACAACTTCTTTTGCCAAACATAACTTGGTTATCCCTTTTAAGCTCAATAACCGCAATCCTCTTAGAAGCTGTACAACTTCCTCCAATGCAGCTATCCAAACATCGTTGACATGATAGGAGTCTTCAATGATAAGTGAACGCAAATTCTCAAAGCTGGAAATTGCCTTAATCTCCTCGGTTGTTAACTTGTTGAAGTTTGCAATCCATAAATGTCTAACTGTACACTTGTGCTGCATATAGCCACTAGATTCAAGTCTTAGACATTCACCAACAGAAACACTGCATGCCAATTCATGTACTAAATCATGCATCACATAATATTCTGCGTAGAATTTGCTACAAGGATCTCCCACTGTCGCAAAAGTAAAGAATGATTTTCTTGCCAATTGCACCAAGTATCTTTCTCCGATGTCTTCTGGCCTTTCTGTTCCACTATCAATTAGGATCAATCCTGAATCCATCCACATTTTCACTATTTCGTCCTTCTTAAATTCATAACCTTTTGGAAATATACTGCAGTATCTAAAGCAAAGCTGTAAATGTTCAGGTAGATGGTAGTAGCTCGACTGAAGAACTGTTGTTTTTTTTTTTTGACGCAACTGAAGAACTGGTGTGATAATGGCACTCGTTTTTCCTTCTAAGTTTTCCAACTGCCTGTATAAATTATTCCAATGATGATGACTTACATTGCTCCTGAGATGCTCGCTTGCAATCTTTGTCACCAAGGGACACCCTTGAAACTTCTTTGCTATGTTTTCAGCAAGTGGCAGGAGATGTTCATAATCTTCAGTTTTCATACCATAAAAGGCATACTTCTTGAACATCATAAAATTGTGATATTCGTCTAATCCATTTAGGTTCATATAATCATTATTACTTCGCATCACACTTGTAACCATATCTGCTACAGATGTCATTCGAGTTGTCAACAGGATTCTACTTCCGTTATGGGGTCTGTTCTGGAAAGGAGCCATTAATTTTTGCCATTCACCCCAATTGCTGTCTTCCCAAACATCATCCAATATGAGCAAAAACTTCTTTGATTCGAGATTCTCTTTGAGAATGTGTTGCAATGCTTCCAAAGTATTAGCATTAGGCTTCTGTTTTGTAAGTGCCTCCAAGATGTTTTTTGTTATCCTTGCTGCATTGAAAGAATTATCAGACACATATACCCACACAATACAATCAAAGTATGTTAAATCTCTTAAATTCTTCGCACACAATCTGAGCAAGAGTAGTCTTTCCTATACCCCCCATTCCAATTATTGCAGAAACAGGGACTCGGTTGATTCCAGGAGTGTTCGAATCTCCCTCTATATTGTCAACCAACCACCTCATAACCTCGTTCTTCTCTGTGTCACGGCCAAAGATCTCAGTGGCCACCAAAGTGGAGCTAGTCTCTTGATTAATCTTTTCAGCATGATCTGGCAAGAGAGCACTACCAAAACGGCTTGTTAGATGAAGGAATGTACCAACACCAGCAGCAGTTTCATCCAACCTCGTGAGAGCCAACCTAAGATTCTTTACCATGTTCCCCTCAGAAGTATACTTAGCAACCTCAAGTTTGAAATTTTTTACGAACAACATTTTGTTTGAAATTTTTTGCGACTGAATTACACACCTCAAGTTCTAGGTTGTGGACTCCAGCCTCTTCCTCAAGCTTGTAGTAGTCTATCTCATCAAGTACATCCTCAGCCCCCTCAACAGCATCCCGGAACTGCCACAGCCACTTATCCAGTGCATGACTCTGCTCATTGATCTGCTGATGATCAACAGCATCATACACTGCTTGGATCTGGTTGAGCATTTGTAACAGCCTAATCTTTGACAACCTTCATACCCTCAGCCTGGTGCCACTCACTGAGATAGCTGAATGCTTTGTTCACAATGAATGAAATGGCCGGCGTTGCAACTGACTTCCCTGCAAAAACCAATGCAGCAGTAGTAGCCATTTGTTAAGAACAGGAGGGCTTGTTGTTGCTCTCTCTTGGCAGGAAACAAAAAGGATCAAAAAGTTGAATGGATGTGCATGTGTGATTGTGTGGTGGTCTGTATGTCTATTTATACTTCCTCGCTTTAAAAAAAAAAAGAAGCAAAACAGAGAAAGGAACATGGGGGCACAATCAATGGATTTGTTTATGCCAGATAAATAATTCTGCAAATGATTTGGCTCAGTTTAATGCCGTCAGCTGTTCGTGCAAGCACAACCAGAACCAGTTGCAGTGTCAACTGGTCTGCATCATAATATAAATGGCTCTTTGCAGTACACCACGAACTAAAATGATGGCTCACCATGAACATTGAACATGTATACAATCACTCAATTAGACTGATGGCTCTTCCAAAAAAAAAAAGACTGATGGCAAGGTCAACATTCTGACTATCTGCTTTTTTATGCGCTACAGATGGAGCAACCGCGTGAACGCCCAAATTGGTGAAGATGATTGACCGCATCAGTTATATACTTATGTTAGCAGTGAATTTTTCAGAAGATTCCTTTGCATTTTAGAACTAATACAGTGCCTGGTGGTGGCTAAGAGCGAGGGGCAAAGAAAACCTGGGCACAGATTGCTGCCAGATTGTCCTCAGATACCCTTTGTCAACAGAAAAAATGGAAAGTGCGAAGGGTACAGTTGAGCTACTTATCTGGGCTAAAACTCGGGAGCGAACCCCGCGAACCTTCCACCGCCGCCGCCGCCGCCGGCGGATTCGAACGGTGTGGGCGCCGCGGCGCCGCAGCGCCGCCGGCTGGAGCTCGCTACGGCGCGGCGCGGCGGCAATGCCCTTCCGGGCTCCGGCCTTCCCCTATCTGATCCTTCGCCTCTCCTTCTCTTCTTCCTTTTAGCGGGCCGAGCAAACCTATGTTGGCCTGCCAAAATTGGCCCATGATGCTGAAAAGAACCGAAAATCCAGTCTCGTCATCAGGTTGACTCGTCATCAAGATCAAGAAGTATTTGGTTCGCTTGCAAAGTCCGGGCCTGTACAAATTGATGGTATTTCCAATCATACCATTATTTGGTAAAATTGACAATTATGTGGCTACGCTTAGTTTGTTACCAAATATTGACAATGTGTATAGAATTTTGGCAACATTATTAAGCTAATTCTACCAAAATTTTGGCAATGTTACCAATTTGCTAAAATTTTAGTAAAGTTCATTTTAGCACCAATCTAAACAGACCCTCAGTATCTGCTTCACTTGTGCAGTTCATAATGCATCCATAGATGGGACTGGCATAATCCAACACAGCTGATTCAGTAACTACAATGCTAAATGATGAAAAATGCAATACGAACTGGAACAGGGATCACTGCCGAATCAGCAGAAAACTTACTTCAATTCATTCAATATCTGTAAACCAATGTCACATTACATGCATTGCAGCCTTGCAGGGCAGACAACGTTTTATACTACAACACTACAACAGTGACACAGATGTGCACCTCCACTCGACAATAAGTGGTTGTCGGATTCAGAACAGGAGCATCACATCAGTTGAACCCTTCAGGGGTGGTAGCGCAATCAGCAGGAGAGCAACACATGTGGGAACTGGGAAGCTGTTGCCAGTTAGCGCTTAGCACTGAGCAGAGATTGTCTCAATCCTTGACATCTGCAACGCCTTCAGATGCTATCTGAAACCTTGCTTCGGCTTCAGCCAAGCATGGAGAGCTTATCACTTTACATATTCGCTCTTCCCCTCTTCCCTTGCGAAGAGCAAGCCTGGTGTACACAGTATTGGCATGTAAGAACGTGAATTAGGAACATGAAAGAAGTCAGGATTAACAGGTTCGATTGGGTTTCTCAGTAATGGACCTTGTTGTGGAAGCATGAGCCATGATGTTTCCACCGATGGGTTTGATCTGCGGCCCAGCAAACATGGCAGAACCATCCACTTGTGCCACTACTTGATTAGTGATAACCACAGCCACTCCAAACTACAGTGAGTAAGCAAACCAAATTTAGGATATTGAAACATGCCAGAGTAAGGACTATGGTCTATGGTTATTCTGCTGATATAAGTACCATGTTTCCTTTAAAGAAAGACAATAGAAAAGAACTAACCTCATCTGCTAATTTCTGAAGGCTCCTCAGAAACTTAGCCATGTGCATTTGCCTCGCTGAGAGCTCCCCTCGACCTGAGAAATCAGTTCTGTACAAAGCTGTCGCGCTGTCTACAATCATGAGAGCAAACCTGCACATGTGAAGATTCAAATAAGAACTATGGAGGAACACCTAATTCAATATTATGTTAGGTACTTGTCTGAAGAACAACCATAACTAAAAATCAATGAAATATGTATCAGTTATTTTCCCATGTTTAAATAAGGATTTTGTGCAAACAGAATCAAACATATGTTGACCTTGAAAGAAAATAACAAGCACCACATAACAAAATTTAGCTCGAATCCACTCATCATAATAGAAGCATCTGTAATCATGAGCCATTACTTTGGGCATCCTACCATTCCAAGTTGCTTGAAGTGTAAACTCAGTACTATAGCAATAGACAGCAATGGAGTACTGAAGTTCACTTCTGTTTTGATGGAAGAGATGCGTGCAACTTAGTCTGTCATACGGGCCAAAAAGGTTACTACAGAAACTAAGGTTTGTTGGCATTACATAATCACTTAGATTCATAAGGACAAGTACTATCAACTTAGTTTCCTACTGCTGGCCACCTATATCTAAATCAAGTAAAGCATACTGGTGTAAGTTGTGTATGCAACATAGCATAGAGTTCAGAGGTACACTCAAAAACTAAAGAGCAAAAAACTTAGAACTTACCTAGTCTCTATCATCATGGAAGCTGCCTCCAGCAGAAGTCTTGATTGATGATCAGTATTATAAGCTCTGGCATAAGCCACGTTCTCTAATACATCAGCACCATTCAACCCGAACCTACAATCCAATTTTCACTTGTTGAGCAATCAAATTTATGTTAGAGCACAGAATAATCATTATAAATAATGAATCACCTGTCAGCTATCTGGAGCAGCCTTTGTGGTCTGAATGTTCCCTCTGCATCAATGTACAAAGCCTTCCCTTCACCACCACCTTGGTCCAATGGAAGCTGCAATATCAATCATTAACATAATTTAGCTTACCAACAGGATTCAGGTGCGCAATGAAATAAGAGTTGGATCAATAAGCTGTCACCTGACATGTGACACACAGCGTGTGGCACAGCTGAGTCTTCCCTGATCGGAATTCACCATAAATCTCTGTGATAGAGCCAGTTTCTATCCCCCCTGTTTGGTCAAAATAGAATTGCTCAATGATCACAAGCAGTACATTTCTGAAGAAATTAAAGAAAACCATGAAAGTTAACAGTTCAATACCATCCAAAATCTTATCAAGCTCTCTAGATCCAGTTGTAACTTGAATAATCTCCAGCCTTTGTGCATGAAGTTGGCTCGCACTTGTAAATCCCAATGGGACTAGCTTCGATGCTGTAAAATTTTAGACAGTTAGGAACTTTGCAGTGTGAAATACAAAGTCGTACTGAGCCTCATAATTACTTGCCTGCTTCAACTATCTTGTCAACTTTGGCTTCACTAATTCCTTTGATTTGCAAAAGGTCTTTCCTTGGAGTATAGGCCACAGACTCCACTGTGTACAGACCAGAATCCTTGAGCTTTTTCACATCCAGAGCAGCAATTCCAGATGCCTTAACCACAAATTACACACAAGAGTTAATGATAGAAGAGCGATCACTATGATAATTTTTACATAGAAACAGACACTAGCTTGTCACTAGCTACACCTCAGAAGCTTTTTAGATGGCACTGAAGTACTGAACATACAACAATACAAGAAATAATGGCACTTCTTATTCTTGCAATTGCAACTACCATTAAGAATGGTTAATTCTACTAGGCATCATTGATGAGGAGAAATATCATGAGATATTATTTGTACAGCAGGTCACTTGTATTGCAAAGAAAATAGTATATCACTAAGGAATAGGAGTGCATCCATTCTTAACTTATTTACCATATTAACAGTACTATGATCAAACAACGATTTCCTCTTTTTTTTACATGTTATTCATAAAGGAACAACCTGAAACATCATACGTATAATAGGCTTTCAGGAATTAATAAATTAATTAATACAAGCTGCTACAGCCTACCACCAGACCGATTTGCAAACAAGTTCCAAAAGTGAAAACACAAGAATCCACAGGACAGCCTACGGTTAAAATATGATGGCAAATTGAGAGAATTAGCATTTTAAATGCTGGCTTCACATGCCCTAAACAGTGAATTAAAAATCGTCTTACTGCCAAATACAGGGAGAAAAGGCAAGTTATGAACTCCCAAGAAACGCCTCCCCAAAAGCCTAATCAAGAATCCCCCTCTTTGGACTTATACGAATCATGACCGCGCCACAATAAACTGCACAGATTTCAGAAAAGCCTAACCTTAATCCATTTTGGGGAAGAACGAACCATGAATACCTAGATGCCCCTAATAAAGATTATGTTTCCTATACCTAAAAAAGGGCAAAAAAAAAAGAAACTAAATAGCCAGCTTCAATACAGAACTGGGAGAATATCCCCTCTTTCGTAAGCCGCAAACACAAAAGGAAATTCCAAGAAATGCTCGTTCTTGAATCTTGACACATTTGGGAGAAGGGGCGAATCAGGAACATAGGGTTTCACTTTCCCCGGCAAGAATCCACGGAAACACCTAATCCGCCCAAACACAACAAAAATACCAGGAAAAACCCGTCCCAATTTCACATACAAATGGCGATAATTCCAAGAAAGACGCGACCTTGACGCCATCCAGGGGCAAGAAACCGAACCAAGATTCCAAGAACCTAGGGTTCTTCCACCAAGAATCTCCCACAACACCGCAAGAACCTAAACCACACACCAAATCTCCAAGAACCCATCACGATTCCCCCCTCCCCCCACCCCACCACTACGCGGATCAGAATCCCCAAGAAACACCCGCCCTTGGAAAACCCCCCATTTGGGGCGGAAGAAGAGAAGACACAGCACAAGAACTCCGCTAGGGTTACGACGAGCCAGTACCTGCAGCTGCTCGATGGGGAACGGCCCGTGCTCCCCCTCCTCCTGCTGCTGCTCCGCCGCCGCCGACGCCGCCGCCGACGTCGACATGGGGCCCACTCGCAGCCACACAAACCCCTCTCTCTCCTCTCTCCTCTCTCTTCTCCTCGTTTCGTTCGAATGGAATTGAAGGCGGCAACGCGGAATCCAGGAGGCCCTCCTCTCTTATTGGATCCTATTTGGGCCTTCACGGGCCAACACGTGGGCCCGCATAGGCTTCCATGGGCCTCGATGTGGAAGTCCAAAAACCTAGAGGCTGCGGCACTGCCAGGTGGGTCCCGCATGTAAGTGGCACGCCGCATCGTCCCTCTCGTCTCGGCTTGGTCCGCAAGAAGAACAACACCGCGAGAGTAAAAGCACCCCCTCCTCTTCGTCTCGGCTTTCGGAGCTCTCGATACTTTAGCCGCGATTCGGAGGGAAACCCTAGCTAGCTCCCGCTCTCGATCCCGCGCCCGCCACCGCACTCGGCAAGATGTTCCTCACGAGGTAATCAGATCGTGTCTCTCTCGGGAAGGCTTTTCGATTTTGTTGCGGGAACTCGATTCGATTCGATCTGTGGGCGAGTTGGGGACGATGGAGATGTTGATTTTGTTGGGATTTTGTGGGTGATTGGTTTGTGTTGGGTGGATGCAGGACGGAGTACGACCGCGGGGTGAACACCTTCTCCCCGGAGGGGCGGTTGTTCCAGGTCGAGTACGCCATTGAGGCCATCAAGGTGAGCCGTCTTCCCTTCTGTTTTTGTTTGCTGTATCTGAGGGAGAAGATGTGATGGTAGATTGTGTGAGAATTAGGGGTTTCTCTCTAAGGGTAGGTTCTAGATTTGCAGGATGAGTTGGGCGTAAATCTCAAGTGTGAGGTTTTTGGTGGCGAAATTTCAACTATAGATCTATAAATTTTGGATGGGGTTCCTCGAGAGGTTTTTGGCCTGTATATAGCTAGCTCTAGCGAGATGTGATGTGCGACTTGCTGTAGCGAGATGCGTGCTGTCTTTTCATGTGTAACTGGTGTTAATGATGCTGATCCTGCTGCTATGTACTGTAGTTGGGGTCAACTGCGATCGGGTTGAAGACCAAGGATGGTGTTGTCCTTGCTGTAGAGAAACGTGTGACCTCGCCACTGCTGGTAATTGCATCTTATCCTATTTCTTCTATCAGGCTGGTGCAATTGTTCAATAGCACCTATGATTGCTCACTGCATTTTGACAATTTAGTTCAAGATTTGACTGAATTTATCTAGCTAATGTTTGAATTATCGATTTCTTACCAGTTCAGGCAAGATAAATCTTATCCTTAGGTAGACCTGTATTCTTACATGATTCCATCAGGATGATCCTGTAAAACATGGATGTTGCTGGTGTTGTTCCTCATGATCTTGCTGCTTTCATTTTTCACAACTACATGCTTTTTGTAATCTCCAACAAACAAAAAGATGTAGATTAGATAATGCTGTTTAGAGTAATTCTGATGGAGTCTCAATCTTGTTGAATTTTATGATTTAATAATATGATCAGTTTTTCTGGCATGTGTTATTTTTATTTATGCAAATGCCAACAAAACAAGGACATTCAGTCAAACAAACACAGAAATCCAAGTATTTCACATGTCAAAGCCTGGAACCTAATGGTTCATGGATATTTTTATTTAAAAATAAACAAGGAATATATTGCAACTGAACTCTGAAGTGCTCATATAGGAGTTCTTTTTCGGTTAATGCATAAACAATTCTTTTCTTTCAGCAAATAGCCCAGTTTGTTTTTCTTGTACGTCAGCTTTATGGGTTGTGACAATCTGACAATTTATTATATCTTACTCTCTGCGTACTGTAGTACTTTGTATGTCAGTGCTGTTGTTTTTTTTGTTTAAATGATATCATGTAGAAGTTTTTTTACACCCTATAGGCCTATTGCCCATATATGTGTTATGTTAATTAAGAAGTTACGTAATACCTCTGCATAATTTGTAAAAGTTAACTACTTGATTCTGACAGAACTTGATGTTAGACTCCCATTTCACTCCCAAGTTTCTAGTTTTTGTGTGTGATGCCACTCAAGTTATCTTTTCTATGATTATGCAGGAACCAAGCAGTGTGGAGAAAATCATGGAAATTGACGAGCACATAGGCTGTGCCATGAGTGGCCTTATTGCTGATGCTAGAACATTGGTTGAGCATGCTCGTGTTGAAACCCAGGTACGTTCTTATGCAATTTTCTACATGTTTTACATATTATGGTCATTGTATGTTAATTTCACCTAATGTGTTTATAATCAGAATCATAGGTTCTCATATGGGGAGCCAATGACAGTAGAATCTACTACACAAGCTATCTGTGACTTAGCTCTGCGTTTTGGTGAAGGTGATGAAGAGTCGATGGTGAGTCTCATTTGCATGAAAACAAATATTTTGTGAAGGATCAAGATTCAAAAATTAATTAGCAGGGGAGCCCTTTTTTCACTTTTGCATTTTGATAAATAGGATTAACACCATAACTTTGCATCAGTGTGTTATCTTTGGAGGAAACTACGCATCTAGAAATTTTGGGTGTTTCAAATAATCCCATGATGGCCACTAATACTGAAAATTATGAATAGATAGGCTGTAAATTAATCATTTTTTCTGCATTTTGTTTTGTCTTTTATTATGTGACTATTGTCTTATTAAGGCTTAGTGGACATATGAATTAGTTTTCTAAGGAGTAATTGCTAAAATACCTGACTATAACAATTTTGCTTCACCCCACTGGGCCACTGCAAGTTACTTTGCTGCATTCTTTTCACCCTTTTGTCGACATTTCTTGTTGCCAAGCTTAAACTAATATACTTGTTTGTTTTGTGCAGTCACGACCATTTGGTGTCTCTCTCCTTATTGCTGGTCATGATGAGAATGGACCCAGCTTGTAAGTATTTATCCCTTTTTACCAAAGGAATTTCCATACATTAGCGATATCTAGATACCTCTTCTGTGGTTCTGCCCTATGCGACCATTTGTTCCCACTTCCCAGATCGCATGAACTAACCTTTATCGCTCCAAGTTATTTTGAGTATTTGTCGAGGAAATAACTCTATAACAAAATGGTCAGGACAATAGCCATTTTCATTCATCTTGTTTTGTTCCATTGCTCTTAAATTAAGTTGATGTGAGTATCATCAAATTTAACTTTGATGGTTTCTAGAATAGCTAGTTATTTTTCGCTTGAAGATTCAACAAGTTTTTCAAAACTCAGCCACAGTCGGCATTTGAAAACCTGGTATATCAAAGAAGAGTTGTCCAAATGTTGCCCATATGAGGTTCTATAGACTATATACATTGATACTTTTATTTCCAGTTTCTTCATAAGGAGCAGTGTCATGTCATTTTTTTCCTGAATCCAGATAAGTGATAGGTATTATGTATTTCATTGTAGCTGAGGTTCTTTATTAGTGGTAAGTAGTGGTAATGCTGCCATCATGGCATCTCTATCCAGAGACAGGCTCATTTTTCCCGTCATGATTGCTTTACAAGGCCAACTAGACTCTCCTTGTACCAATCTGTGGATGAATTCCTATGTTTTGCAGGTACTACACTGACCCATCAGGAACCTTTTGGCAGTGCAATGCCAAGGCAATTGGATCAGGTTCTGAAGGAGCTGATAGCTCATTACAGGAGCAGTACAATAAGGTACTATCCATTAAGCTAATGCTAATCACACAGTTTTGAAGAACAATAACAGATAGGAAATTATAAGGAGATGCAAATATGCAAGACACTTTTGTTTGAGTGCCAAATCAATATGAAAAAAAAATCTGAGTATCTTGGAGAAAATATGTTGTGTATGAGCCGTAGTAATAGAACTATGCAGCAAGGTTTGATCCAAATTTGAAGTCCCAATCTTTTATTACAGTTGAAATACTTCTCAGAAGCCAGTTTCACACTTTACCTATCCACTTAGCATTACTAAATTTGCTGCCATTATTTAGCAGGATTCATGCCAATTGAATTGTTTATTTAGAGCTTAACGGTTTTTATATATGAAAAGAAAAGGAATATTGAGAATGCTATCTTTATGCAGGAGTTGACCCTTCAGGAGGCTGAGACCATAGCCCTGTCTATCTTGAAGCAGGTTATGGAAGAAAAGGTATGGTGTCGCAAGCCACTTCATATTTCAGTTTCTCATTTCTATCACACCAAAAGAAAATTTCCTAGACATCTGAGTTTATCTCATTCTGAACCACAGGTTACTCCAAACAACGTCGATATCGCAAAGGTTTCTCCCAACTACCACCTCTACACCCCTGCAGAGGTTGAAGCTGTCATTGCACGGTTGTGAGAAGATTGCCATCGCGTGTTATTTTAATCAGCCCTAAGACAGCCTCTGTATGAACTTCCTAAATGGATTATCAGTCCATTGTTTGCTATGGCTGTCATGTTATGTTAACAAGATAGTGGCTGCTAGAGTTTATTACTGGCTCTAATAGTCTGGTGTGCAGCCCAGTCATTTGCTTGTTTTCAGCAGTGTTGAGACCATGTACTATCAAAAAGAGAACGACAATCCTTTCCAAGATTTGGTTGCAACATTTCGACAGTCATCTTGATCTTCGGTTTCTTCCCAACCATAGTTTATTTTTGATACAATATAAAGTAGGAGTATACATATAGAAAATAACTGGTAGTGCCGCCAAGCGGGCGTCTCAAGTTAGTTCGCTTTCCGTCTCATGTTTGGCCAATTGGCCTGACGCCCTGACCCAATTCGAATTCGTTGTGTTGTGTCAGGTCGGACCTTCCTCAGTTGGCCGGTTTGGGCGACAGGGGACGGTCGCGATGAAACTAGCAAAGCGATTCGACTTGTTTACGTCAGCCGACTAAATATATTACTTCCTCCGTCCCACCTCCTTCCTCCGTTCTAAAATAAGTGCAGTTTACGTTTGACCGTTCGTCTTATTTAAAATTTTTTTACGATTAATATTTTTATTGTTATTATATGATAAAACATATATAGTACTTTATGCAACTAAGTTTTTTTAATTTTCTCATAAATTTTTCAAATAAGACAGACGGTCAAACGTTGGACACGGATTCCCACGACTGCACTTATTTTGGAACGGATGTAGTAATAACTTAATACCAGGATCCAATATTCCTCTGTTTCGTACTTTTTTATGTGTGTACAGTTTCTTATCATTGCTAATCATTGCTACTTCCTACGTCCCAAACATAAGGTGTATGTCTTGTGTTCAGATTCATAGTTCTAGGATGGGTTTAATCTTATTCTAGATTATTATATATTAGGATGGTAGGAGTACCTTCGGATCGTTACATATTGGGACGGAGGGAGTACCTTCGTTCCACTAAGTACAATTCGTGCAATTCTATATTTAATAGTTTTTTCTGAAATAAATATAGCTTTATCATAGTGCTTACCACATCAATCACATTCCATTTAAATTTATCTAATTTATCTTCGTCTTACCCTCAATTATCCTCCTGTTTCATATCATCTCTCATTTAATCTCTCTCATTTTTCTCCTCTCAAGTGCACCTAGTGGGATGGAGGGAGTAAAAGTTTGGGTGGCCAACGTTATCGCTATTAAGTTGTGGCACATGTAGGTTTGTGGGGGTGGCTCTGCAGTGTTTTTAAAGTAAAAAAAGTTGGCTTCCATGGTTCTCATAGCCAGCTTCCCAGAAACTAAAATCATCTTCCTTGTTCTTCTCGCTCCCTATTAGTGAGAAAACGTGTCGCATCGGCCCCCAATAACGATTTTTTTTTCTGTTTAGTATTTTAGGACGGTTCCACTTTTTATTATTGAGTCAACTTTTACATAATTAGGAATCTTAAAAACAGAATTTTGGGATGAATTTCGGGCATCTTGGCAATTCTCTAAGTAGTATTTATACTGTTAATCACCACATATTTTTTTATAAAAAAATTATCTTACTTGCAACCACCCTCACACTCCGTTACAACTACCTCTTTTATAAATGAATGGGAATGCACATTTGGGGCATTCCAAAGTGTCACTGTTTTAGTGCGGTACTCCTTCAAACGATGTCAGCCTTTGAATTACATGTAAGGTAACACTTGCTATAGATAATGTTTTACTCTCTCCGTCCCAATATATAGCAACCTAGGATGGGACCCATCCTAGGACTTTGAATCTGGACCCATCCTAGGACTTCGAAGTCCTAGGATGGTCTAATGGTCTAATCCCATCCTAGGTTGTTGCATATTGGGACGGAGGGAGTAGTAAATTAGTTCTGATGATCTCAGTAGTTCTCCCAGTTCGTAATTTCTTATTGCATTATTCATTTAGCATGAAAGTAATGAAAATCAGCAGCGTGATAGTGCAGCTCACTTAAAGGGAAATCGAACAAGATTGAAGATAATCTGGACACTGTAGCATTAAGAACCCACTAAGCTTCCTGATGATCGATTGGCCCAGCCCATGAGGCAACCCAAGAGCAAGCTCTCAAGCAAGTCCATGGTACATCATATATAAGAAAAGGCACCAATCCTAGGGAGGTATCGAACAGAAGATCAGGCATCGACAGCTTCAGCCACGACGGCGGCGACTTGGTTCGGTTGAACCTCGTCAATCTCTATCCCTCCCTTACTCTCTCATGTTCCTCTTCACTATCACTTCTAGAAGCTTTCTCTACCTTTTCTCATTCAATTCCTATTCTATTTTTCCTAGTTTCGGCGGGAGCAATAGGACGAGGTGGCGGCAATGCGGGCGGGTGGCCTGTGGCAACATGAGCACCCTCCCCTCGGCCGGATCCGGCTGGAGGAGAGGTGGTGGACCTCAGGGACTGCCAGACGGTGGTCGCGCCCTCCCCTCTGCTAGATCCGACTGGAGGGGAGACAGCGGACCTCGGGGACGGCAACGGCGCTGGCCGCACATTTCCCTCCATCAGATCCGGTGGGAGGGGAGGCGATGGGCGGCGGTGGCAGGCGGCAGTGCCCGAGGGATTTTTTTTTATGATTTGTAGAAATTTTTATATGTTTATGTGATTTGTGGATGATTTGGTTGTTGAATATGTTTCGATCTGTAATCTGTGATATGTGGGGAATTGGGGATTTCAAACAACTCGATGTGGGGCATGGCGCAGTGACGATGATTGTGAGTTCCGGCTCGATTCGAGCCGGCTCTTTTTTTTCTTTTTTTCTTTTTTTTTTTGCTTGTGCAAACCTATAGATGCCGGTTTTATTTTTAATACAGGTTGCTAATGTTGGTGCCGATCATAGTTCCTAACCGGCACCTGTGATAGTTTTTTACTAGTGCTAATTTCTTAATTATGTGAAAACATATAAAAATGTTTACACTTTGGATCGAAGGAACACAAAGGAGGAAGTAGTATATTTTCTATCAAGCCTAAGACAGTACTGATGATGTTTAAATCTCCTGGAGATGAAGATTAAGTGTCACGCAAAACGATATGGTAATAACGTATGATCTATTGAGTTTTAATTATTACAAACTTGATAAATGGATTAATCTTATATTTTAGAACAACTTTCATATATAAAGTTTTACACGAAACGCACTGTTTAACAATTTGAAAAGCGTGCCACAAGTATCTAAAATTTAATCTAATTTTTATTGGAGAAAAAAAACAGGGCCAAAAGTGTTTGTTTACTTCATGATGTGGGATTTCTTCCCATTGTTTGTCATGGGTGCCATGTTATGTTAACAAATCGTGGTACTTAAGAAGACCATGTACTAGTAAATGGAAATACATTTAGTTGCATTCATTGTGAAAATTATAAGAAATTTTAGGTGCATATGTCACATTAGTACAATAAATCTGGTAAGAGAATTTGTCTAGCTTTATTGTCTTAGAATATGTCACGTTCACCCAAAATACCTTTATCTCTCCGTCTCAAAATATGGCAACCGATTTATTGTCCTAGAATGTATCCATCCAGTACAACGAATCTGAATATACTAGGATTTGTTGTAGTAGAACATCCGTTATAAGATTGCTATAAAAATTTTATGATGGAGGGAGTACTCAATTGGAGACAAGATCAAATCCCACGGGGATAAGATCGGCGACATGGCAGGGGAGCAGGAAGACGCCCTCGGCCCTGCACACGGCGACCCTGAAGTCGAGGCGGTTGTCGACGACGGCGTAGCCCTTGCCATGGCGAACGCTCCGTATGATCGCCTGGCACGCGGCGAGCTTGTCCTGGTGCCTCTTGTTGTCCCTGTCCAGGTCGAGCACGCACCTCCTGAGCGCCTTGTCCGCCTCTGACGGGTTCGGGTTGCCGTCGTCGACGATGTCGGCGACGTGGGGCAGCTCCATCCTCTCCAGGGAGAGGATCTTGTCGACCAGATTCTTGGACAGCGCGAGCTTCCCGGGCGGGACGAGGATCATCTCCTCGCCGTCGGCCGGCACCAGCGTCCCCGCAGGCTTGCTTCCATTGGAGGCGCACCTCTTCCCCTTCCTCTTGGAAGATCGCCGCCTCTCCTCCTCCGCAGCAGCGGCAGGGCACGGCACCACACGGATCTCCTCACCGGCATCCTCCTCCTCCGGCGGCGGCAGGAAGGCGACGACGCAACGCTTGATTTGCTTGCGGTCCAGGTCCAGGTCCATCGGTGGATCGGGAACGTAGAGGATGGATGGATGATTTCTCGGGAGATTTCGATGAATTCTTGGGAGATTTCGATGATTTATCAGCAACAATTGGTTTACAAAACCTGAACCATACTAAGTTCCATACTTCTATATGATCGCGCCCGTCCGTCTCCGAAGTCGAATCCCTCTTATCCATGGGGACAGCTGAGGTAGGGCCCAACATGAGAAAACGGCTTCCAACTGGGCCAGGCCCAATAGGGGAATCAGCCACGAAAGGAAAAGGTGTAGTTTGACTTCCTCAATCAAATATAATTCGGATATTATTCGTATCCTTCAACCGCAAAGTCGGGTATATCGACATATTCAACTATTAAAATCGAGCAAAACAATTCCCTTGGCTATTTGGTATTTGCTCATGTGGCACGTTGAATTTGTCCCACCTATACTGGTGTGGTAACCTAGACACAAAATAGAAAGAGTTAATTGGATCCATGCCATTATTATTTTCATAATTTTGAAAGATACACATACTATTCACCTATTTGAACTCGTGCCACTATAATTATAACGTTATTCGATGTATGCCACTACCACTTGTGGAGAAACCATCTTTGGTCAGTCGACCAGATGTCACAATAGTCCCGGTTGTATTAAAAACCGGGACTAAAAACATCTTTAGTCCAGGTTTGAAAGCTCAGAGGTATTTTTTTTATATTTAGTACTGGTTGATGTTACCAACCGGGACTAAATATCTATTTATAGTCTCGGTTGTTAACACCAACCGGGAAAAAAGATCGATATAAGCTTTACTCCCGGTTGATGTTACCAACCGGGACTAAAGATCTACTTATAGCCTCGGTTGTTAACACCAACCGGGAAAAAAGAACGATATAAGTAGAGTGGATGCACGCGGATCGGATACAATCTCCTCCTCTTCTTTAACTCCTCTCCTCACACAGTCACACCCTTATCTCTTCCTCTCCCTCCTCCCTCCTCTCCTCCTCTCCCTCCTCCCTTCTCCCTCCTCCCCATCTCTCTCTGCAACGGCGAGGCGCGGAGGGCTGGCCGGCCGGCGCGGCGCGGCGGCGGGCGGCACGCCGGCGGCCGCGGGCGTAGCGCCGGTGGCTGTTCGTCTTTTTCTATTCTTTTTTTTTGTAGAATCTGTGATTTGGATTTGAGATTTGTGTGTGATGTGAATATGTGATGAATTTTGTAGAAGTTGTGATGTAATTTTTTTAAGATTTTGTGATGTATTTGGAGATATCGATTTGAGAATTTGGAGACTATTCGGGGATGATTGATTTGGGATTTTGGGATAGGATAGAGTGAATCAATATATTAAAAACAATGAAGAAAAGAAAAGAATAAAGTAGCAATCGGATCTAGTCTCTTTAGTATGGATTTTTACTCCCGGTTTTTGCACCCGGGACTAAAGATCACTATCTGATCTTTAGTCCCGGTTGAAAAACCGGGTCTACAGGTTACGAACCGGGAGTAAAAACATCTTCTCCACCAGTGTACTTACTCTTTCAACACACTTTCTAAAATTTTGGACCAAACTGCCCATTGTCTTCCTCCTCCATCCCTCCGCTGTTCATCTTCCCTCATGGATCTGGCAGCTTGTACATCAGTGATTCAATCAACGGCTTGCTGCAGGGGCAGGTAGAGTGAGGTCATCTTGCCTCGAGCAATCCACATGTATGCCTTCATACTCCCTGTCAACCAACAAGAACATGAGAAACGAAAGCAGAAACCAACACATGCAATGCAACAGCAGAGAAAATTCAACCCTTACACTGTCATTGCTTTGCAGCGCTCAACATCATGCATCAGATCGCGCAGGTGCATTTTCTGAATCTCCCCAATATGTGCCCGCTGCTGCTTCTGCTGTTGCCCATTCAAGCATCAAAATCTATTATCATTTTTAAAAGGTAGTGGTGGTAGCGAGTGTTGAATCTGCCACCATGGCACCACCCACCACCAACTTCCAAAATTCTGACATGTAGGCCCACCGTCCATCCCTCGTCCAAACTAAAATGTATGGTAGAACAATGAAAGTCACGGGTAGACCCTGGAGCTTTCAACCATGATCATCCTTGCAAGTTAACAATAAATTGAGGGAAATTTTGGTGAGCAAAAACCTCTAATTAATTGTAAAATTAAGCTCTAAAATTTAAAATAGATTTCATCTCTACATCATGCTGATGTCATTTTTAATTCCGTAACAACATACATGTATTTTGCTAGTTCAAATAAACACATCGATAGTTTAGATCGAAAAAGCAAAAGAAAATTTGGGAAAACCATCCCAACTTCTCCAAAATAGTAGTAGTAGTAGAAGAGACGACTGTGACGAGTTCCTTCGCTTTTCGTTGCTGGTTCCCCTATTGGGCCTGGCCCAGTTTGCAGCCCACATAATCTCACGTAGGGGCTGCCTCATCTGGCCCGTTCCGAGGAGGGATTCGACTTCGGAGACGGACGGCCGCGATGAAACTAGCAGAGAAAGAAGGATTCGGCTTTGGAAACGGACGGCCAGGATCCGCCTCCGCCTTGATAAACCACACCCTTCGTCTTCCCCCCACACATCCTCGAATCGTTAGGGTTTCGAATTCCCCAATTTTTAGCTGCAAAATCATCGAGATTTCCCGCGAAATCATCCATCCACCGATGGCCGACAGGCGGGCTTACCTCAAGCGTTGCGTCGTCGCGCTGGCGGCGGCGGCGGCGGAGGATGCCGGCGAGAAGATCGCGTTGATGCCCTGCACCGCCGCCCATTGCGTGGAGCAGTTCGCCGCCGACAAAGCTATGGCGGCGAGAGGCTCAAAGCGAAGCGGCGGTACGCTGGTGCCGGTCGACGGCGAGGAGGCGATCCTGGTCCCGCGCGGGAAGCTCGCGCTGTCGAAGAAGCTGGTCGACAAGATCCTCTCCCTGGAGCGGAGGGAGCTGCCCCACGTCGCCGACCTCCTCAAGGACGGCGGCGGCGGCGGCGACCCGAACCCGTCGGAGGCGGAGAAGTTGCTCAGGAAGAGCGTGCGGGAGATGGACAGGTACAACAAGAAGCGCGAGGACAAGCTCGCGGAGTGCCAGGCGATCATACGGCGCGTCCGCCATGGCAAGGGCGGCTACGCCGTCGTCGACAACAACCTGGAGATGAGAGTCGCCGTCTCCAAAGCTGAGGGTATCTTTCTGGATGACGCCGAGATGACCGATCTAATTATTGATGAGGGATTTAACCTTGCCTCCAACTGAGCATGTAGGGTGACGTTTTATCACTTAGCTTAGTGATCTACTGTTAGTTTACTTAATTAACTGTCGACTATCTATCTGTAGCTATCAACCACCTATATGATGATGTCCATGTATGCAGCTGAGTAGGCTTGGTTGTTGAATAACCATATGTATCCAGATAAGCCAATATTTATAGGACGACTGTTTTGTACACCCAGGTGTATGTACTCCCTCTTTTTTGTTGGATATCCATTAGTTGATAATGGATAGTTGAGTTAGAAACAAAAAAAAGGTAATGTTCATTTTATTTTCAAAATTCTGCATATGCGGCTGGTATTCTTTTGTTTTTCTTTTCAATTCTTTGCATGCATGCACAACGGTCCGTGAGGAATTAATGGCCATATTCAAAATTTAAGATATATTATTTTCTTATTTAGTTAGTAGATCGAAGTATGTACTCTTTTCAAAAACTAGTAGTATATACTAATTTTTCAGTACATGGTACTAGGAGTATGTAGAGTGTTTTCAAGTATCCAGTATATACTCGATCGGTTAATTAGGTGTATGTACTGTTTTTATCATGTATCCAGTATATACTAACTCACTCGGTTAAGAAGTATGTACTGTTTTTTTTAGTATTCAGTATATACTAAATCAATCGGTTAATGAGTATGTACTGTTTTTTAAAAGTATCCAGCATATACTGAAACCCTCATTGAAGCGGTATATACTATTTAATTGCAGTATCCATCGTCGATAGAAGGTATGTATGCATGTACCTTTTATTAGATTATTAGCAAAATAATTGATGAAGTACATACTACTTCACCGAGTGGTACTTATTAAATAATTAAGAAAATAGTATATATGTATATCACTTGGTTTCACCGAATGGTATATATACCGAACCATAAAATGAAGTATACTTGATGAAATTGATGTATACATATTGCCCCGAAAAAAAAGATAGTATATATATATTCAAAACAAAAGCAGTATGTTATGATACTACTTTTATCATCGATGGAAAAGGAGTATAGTTGTTTGAAAAAAAAGTGGAAAAAGTAGTATCTATCCCAGAAAATAGTGCATCGTCGGCTTCGTCGCCATCAGCATGGCGTGGCACCGATAGCAGGAAGGGAGTAGCAATTAATTAGCAGCTGGCACCGTCGCCTGAAATCGACCAAGGGACGAAGCACGCTGACTAGTGCAACGGATCGATCGGCTACTCGGCTGCGCTTGGATGAAGAAACGCCGCGATCGATCATCTCTGCTTCGATCTGATGCATGGGTGGATCTGCTAAATGATAACTTAAATTCGTAGATTTATCTGTCCACTTTCATTGAGTTTTAGTGTGACATTTGACCTCTTAATTGTTTTGGACACAACCATGGTTGAACCTATAAATTGCATACCAGCTATGTGCAGCCAATTGCACGCATATTTATGATAAGATTTTAACTTTTTTTAAAAAAAATAATTATGATTCTTAAATCTTGCATATCGAATGCATATCCGACATCTAATGAACAAGAAAATGCATGGACATACAAGTAGACAATTCAATGAATTGCAAAGACATTGTAAATAACATAGAAATATCTAGATAGTTCCTGCACAGCTAAATGTATACCAATATTCTTTTTATTTATGTGTAGAGATTTTGTCTTGACTAGCTAAATGTCCGTGCTTTGCTACAGATAAAAATATACTCCCTCCATGTCTTTTTGTATGATGTAAGTTAGTTCAAAATTGAACTAACCAACGTCATATATTTAGAGAAGGAGACAGTATATTATAATATGGTCTAAAACAAATAAAAATATTTGTTCATGAAACATGTTATTCCTGTAGCCTTAACTTTATTTAACTTTATTTTATGTGCCTGTCATTTAGATTTGATTGTTTTTAATATTAAGAAGCTCAAGTGGTAATTTGTAAAATTTATAATGAGTAAGGTGGGGTGGCGGTTTTTTTTTCACTGGCCGGCAAAGGTGGCGGGTGGATGGTCCAGGTGTGGGCGCCGGTGAGGGATGGCGCCCGGCGCGTGCTTGCCACGCGGGGGCAGCCGTTCGTCCTGGCGTCGCAGTGCCACCGCCTGTTCCAGTACAGGACCGTCTCCCTCACGTGCGTCTTCCCCGTCGGCGGCGCCGCCGCCGCCGACAAGCAGGGGCTTCCCGCTAGGGCGTTTGACACGGGGACGCTGGAGTGGACGCCCAACGTGCAGTGCTACGGCAGCGGCGAGTACGCCCGCATTAGCTATGCGCTCATCTACGACATCCAGGGCAGCCTCTTCCTCCCCATCCTTGACCCCGACGACGCGAGCTCCCCCCTCGCCGTGCTTGAGCTCGTCAGCACCGCGCTGCGGCTCCGCGGCTCCGGAGAGGTCACCAACCTCTGCAACGCTCTTCAGGCAATCTCTCTCTCTCTCTCGATATATCTGCAACTAAGATCAAGAAATAATTAGCTACAGCAATTAGCAGGAGTGATTAGATTAGTGAACTGATTAACATTTCTTGTGTTCACTGAGAGGTGCAGGGATTACTCGCCGTGAACCAGATAGTGAATCGAGATGAGACCGGGGCGGCCATGGCCGAGGTATCGGAGCTCCTGACCACAGTGTGTGTCTGTGTGAAGCTCACAAGCTGCCATTGGCATGCAGACATGGGTGAGATGCAGGAGCGGCGGAGACGACACGGAGAAGGCCGCGCTAACGACCGCCGGCGCGCCGTTCCACCTCGCCGCCGTCGCCGCTGGGCAAAGGAGGTGGTCGGGCGCCAGTTGGAGGGGTGGCCGGTGGCGCTGTCCGCTCGACTCGGCGGAGACGGCGGTGACGAGGGAAGGGGAGGCCGGCGTGGCGGCGCGGGCGTCCAGCAGCTCGGCCACGCTCGGCTGGGTGCCGGCTGGGAGTGACGCAGACGCGGATGCCATGGAGAGAGGGGAATCGAGAGAGAAGAGAGAGTGAAAGGGCAAGAGCAACATTTTTCCTGCTCGGGCCCATATGTCAGAGCTGCTAAACAGTTAAAACCAAACAGAATAGTGACGGAATGGTGTGGAGGGCGCAATAAAGTTGGTGTGGAGGACGCGATAAAGTTGGACGATGGCATAGAGGGAGGCTCAAACTTTTTTGTGGCAAAGAGGTAGGCACCATCTTTTTTTAATGGCAGGAAAAACCTCAAAAAGTGAAATCCATTCAACCGAGGAGCGCACACACGCATCGCATTGGTCTCTCTCTCTCTCCCGTTTCCCCCAAATCCACCCCACCGAGCGGCGGCGAGGCGAGCCCACGCCGGCGACGAGATGAGCTTCGAGTACCTGGGGGGGCCGATCAGCAAGAACCCAAATCATGGTGGCGCCACCGTCGGAGTCCTCGACGACGCGCACTCCGGGAGGCGTGAGAGGGCCTGGCCTCGTCAGGACAAGCGCAGACCCTACCCTTCCAAGTTCATCGTTGATTTTGCCTGTGATTCTGCCTGATGTGTGTGTAACGTGGGGTGGGTATCCGCATACGTGTGTTCATCCCCCTGTTCCTTCCAAGTTCATCGTTGATTTTGCCTGCGATTCTGCCTGAAGTGTGTGTGTGTGTTCATCCCCCTGTTCGTCGTCGCATCTGATTGTGGGATTTTTTGCCTGATGTATATACGTGGGCAGGGGCTTTGTAGTTAGTGTTCTTAGGGATCATAGACTTGGGACTTCCATTTCTGGCTGGCGGCTCGTGCACACTGTTTGTTGGTGGTTGGTTGATCAGGTGTAGTAACTGATTTATTTGGGCGCTACCTGGATAGAGAAATTAATTAAGGCTTCAGTTCTCAGCTGTCATGAAAGCAACTGTAGTTGGCTTTGATCAGTTTGATGCCATATGTCATATAGCCATATAGGTCTGACTGCAACTTTAGATTTGGATTCAACCTTGTTAAATAGTTCTATTACTATGGCTCGCACAAAACATAGTCCTCTTAAGATTATATTGGGAAAGTTTTCATGTTGATGTGGCACTCAAACCAAAGTGCCTTGTAAGGTTTGCACCTCCTTATATTCTATCATTATTTGATCTTGTTCTTCACAACTGTGATTAGTTTAACACCTCCTTATAGTCCATCATTATTTGATATTGTTCTTCACAACTGTGATTAGTTTAACAGTTAATACCTTATTGTACTGCTCCTGTAACAAGCTATCAGGTGCTTCAGGACCTGATCCAATTGCCTTGTCATTGCATTGCCAAAAGGTTCCAGATGGATCAGTTTTAGTACCTTCAACACAGAGGAATTCACGAATCAATACAAGCAATGCAGAAGTAACCGATTGCAATTAGCATGATGCATTTTTTCCTTTATTTGTCCTGCCATGTTCTTTGATGTTTGCCATAGTCCTATTTTTTTCAATTGGCATTTGCCAAACTCTTTGTCCTGTGCAACCTTAGCTCTGTTATAAAACATTTTATCATAAAATTTTGAGTCCCTTATACTTTACCATACGTTACATCAATCACAGTTTTTGCAACTAGATGTTATTTATGAGTATTGTACTAAATGATTTGGTTGGGACATGTTCTAATTGGTCTTGTGTTTGTGTGCTAACTAGGAAGAATGCTAGCGGTATCACCTGATATTTGTAACTAAGACTGATCTACTGTTGTCAATCAAGATTTACTGGAACCGTATTTTGTTCTTATGTTTTCCTGCTGGTAATTATTTGCTTTAACGTGCTTTTGTTTCTCTCTAAAACAGTTTAATGAACAAGTCGTCTTTGAAATACCCAAGGACTGCATCAGCAATGACCCGCTGGTAACTGAGAGGAACACAAAACTTGTCAAGTTTTATGAAGAGATTGCGCAAAACCGCTATCAGAGATATCATCTTATTGAGGCTGGAGCTGGCAAAAAAAAGCTAACGAAGTCCTGGGAGAACCTGCAGACCAAGCTGAAGACAGCAAGGACATATCAGCAAGATGTGAGACAAGTTGGTGGAAAAGCCGTCCCTATCCCCGCCCATTTCACTGATGAGGTGTAGTGCTTGTGATTAAAACCTGTTCCGGAGCCAGTCTGTTGTCGTTATCACAGGCTTCTTTTGTGATTAGACTTCTTTTGCTCCATGTCCGTTACTTCGTTATCCCTAGCACAAACCTGTTTTGAAGGAAGGGTTTGGTATTAGGTGACTACTTGAAAACCATGATCACTTTTCTTGGATGATGTCAAATCTATTCATGGTTTTGATAATGCCAAAAGGTTTCATGAGACAATTTGTTAACTGAATTATCGGCGCTCTAGGTTTGTCATTTGAAATTATAATGATCTATGCAGTAAGACCGCTTGGGACATGGGAGTCGCTCCTTATTGCTGGTCATAATTAGAATGTACCAAGCTTTTGTGAATAATTATGTTTCGAAACAAGAATTATACTACTACTTTTCCACTTTGAAACAATAGTAATACCATGGCATTCTTGCTCCTCTTACTTTTATAGCGCTCTTTCTGTGCATTTCCTTACATGAAAGGTGCCATGATATTGTTCCAGCCTTCCAGGGTGCTATCTGTTATCCTACCATCTGTTCCCAGATCCCATCGACTCTGATAGTCTGTATTGTTCCAAGTGACCTATGAGGCTATGACCAAGAGTTCTCGTAAGTATTGGTGGTTTCTGCAATAGCTAATTGCTATTTTTATGTGTGCGTGCCTTGAGCAGTTTTTACATCCTATAACAGCTTGACATTTGAAAGCCTGGCATATTGAAGAGAACTGTTTTATCCAAATCCCGAAATGCTGGCCTGGGGTGCTCGATGCTGGCCATATATTGCATCCATATATTTATTTCTCCTTTCTTTCCTTCATAGTTCATAAGAAGAGTAGTTCCTGAATTTTCAGAAGTGAAGTGTAGGCACTATGCTTTTCGTGTTAGCTGAGTTTTATCTACTTTATTATTTATTATTATTGTTGGTGATAAGTATGGTCGATTCCAAAGGCCAACTGAACGTTGCTTCTATGAACTGATGAAATTTCTAGCCAGGTTGGCCGAAGACGAGGCCCAACCGAATTCATGTGTCGATATCACTTCCTGTTTCTGCAGGTAAATAACGTTTTGGCACTGCAAGGCATTTCGATCAGGCTCTGCTGAAGCTGCTGGCAAGCTGGAAGCTCATTACAGGAGCAGCAGCAGAAGAAGAAGGTAGTGTTATTCTGACATTAAGCTACCCAGTACAGTTATGAAGAGTAGCAATAACATGTGTCCAGCAACAGAGTACTCCCAAGTTTCCCCCAAAATGACCAAATGTGTGTCGCAGTCAGGGTACATCCATCGTGAGGTAAACACACACATTCACTGGATCCAAATAAAAGGGGAGACAGACAGCGTTTTCGTAGGGTTTAGATTCTCCCTACAGGCCAGTACAAATCTCCACGAAATTTTCGGGTTTTTTTTTGTCAAATATTTGTAAATTTGGTCAAAATTTATTCAAATCCAGTCAAAATAAGTAAGTTAGGAATTCAAATAATTTCGGTTAGAAAAACCCGGAAATCACGATTTAGATCAGAGACCGAAACAAAGTACGATCACGAGTACATGGAGAACATTACTCCCTCCGTCTCATAATAGGTGACGTTTTTTACTTTTTATTTGCAACGTTTGACCATTCGTTTTATTTGAAAAATTAGTGCAAATATAAAAAAAGATAAGTCATATGTAAAGTACTTTTGATAATAAAGCAATTGACAAACAAAATAAATAATAATTCCAAAATTTTTTGAATAAGACGAATGATCAAACATTAACAAACAAAAACTCAAAAAGATAAGTAATATGGGACGGAGGTAGTAGCTCCGAATGAACATCCAGCACCACCATAAAAAATGATGTAAACTCGTGCGATGGAGATTGGCATCCAGCTGAACCTCCTGCAAAATTGTGAGCGCGAGTCAGGAAACGCATGTATATATGCACAAACAGCATCCCATCTGTTGTCCGTTGCAGCTCAGTAATCATGTTTATGTGGTTAGCATGGGCAAAAGAAGAGAGCAGTATTGCGACACAAAGGTTATATCATAGACACCAGCACAATGCAGAAAACTGATAGGCAAACAAGACTCCATCATCTTGTGTTCTATCAAAAGTAGTACATCGTAAGTACAGGCACCATAATTTTCTAGCAGACAGCAGGTAAATTAATATTGAAACACGAAACGAGTGTGAATGCTAGAGGAATACCACTATATTGCCATTTTCATTTCTATCTGGTGAGGATCATAACCAACCAGCTTGAGTTATGTCTGAGCAATATAACTCAACAAGGTTAGACCTTTGGGATTATACAGAGTCACATAACAGTGTACAAGGTAACATGCCGCAAACATGAACAATCATGTACTCCGTACGTCGGAAGAGAATGTGATGCAATGTTGAATGGAACACCTTCAAAGTCCTCTTCTTTTCTCCAACAAAAGTTGGATGAAGATTAAGATTTTCGTGGCACGCTTTCAAAACTACTAAACGGTGTGTTTGGTGCAAAAACTTTATATATGAAAGTTGCTCTAAAATACCATATTAATCTATTTTTAAGTTTGTAATAATTAAAACTCAATCAATCATATATTAATACCACTTCATTTTACGTAAAAAACTTAATCTTCATATTTATCTTCATTTTCAGGAGAAAAGAACACCACCAAGTCCCATATCAACAGAGAGTTGATACATCTGGCATGATAGCTCCCCACACTCGACATAAAACTGGAAGGAGAGAATTGTTGTAAGCAAGAAACTATGTTTGTTGCATCCACAAGAAAATACTTGTATATCATTTTGCTGTAATTCAGAGACTAGAGAGAGAGAGAGAGAGCAAAAGACTCAAAACATTAACATTGCAATGAGTATGCATTATATTATATTATCAAGTAAAAAATGTCCTGCAGAAAGTCAATTATTCTCAGACTTTAATAAAGCAAAATAGAGACACTACACTAAGGCTCTGTTTGAATCCTCACTCTCGGCACGCAAAAGCGTTTAACATGTGATTAATTAATTTTTAGCTAATTTTTTTTAAAAATGGATCAATATGATTTTTTAAAACAACTTTCTTATATAAACTTTTTGCAAAAAACATATCGTTTAGTAGTTTGAAAAACGTGCACGCGGAAAACGACGAGGAGGAGTTGGGAACTTCTTCTAACGAACGCAGCCAACTTGTGCAAACATATGTGGCAAGGAGGAATGGTCATCTTCTTGAGATCTAAAGGATTCCACGAAGACAGGATAATTCGCTTATCATCAGGATTATTCTTGATCTTGTCAATCACATCCATTAGCTGATCGAAGACTTGAACAGTATAGTCAGCATGCATGCTAGTTATCTGTTACATACAGAAATAGTTAGTCATTAATCCTGAGAGATCCAGATGGAGAGCACATCAATAAGTACATAGGGAGGAGAGAAAAACTTACTCAGCACCAAAGTATCACCATTGAAATCCATAAACTGGACCTAAATCACCTTCCTCCCTATGTGCTAAATCAACACTAGAATGCAGTAAAAATTTTGCCAAATGGATCAGAGCACAAGAATCAAGAACACCAATATCCATTCTTTCTTTCTCAAATAGTGTGGAACCAAGATAAATACCTGTCAAGATACTCTCTCGAAGCATTTTTCCATCCCAAATATGAATGCCTTTTTCTTGTAAAACCTAAAATGATGTATCATCGTTCGTACCAAAGTGATAATCTACCATGGAAGCTCATGTGAAGAAATTAAAGTATAATAATATTCACTTCTGCCTCGTGTGCTAGCTGCAATTAATAGTTAGCAGATAACAGAACTGAATTAGGCTCGACCGTGCGCGCAATGTAGACGAGACGGGCGACGGCGCAGCCTGTGTGCGAGAGCTTCACAGCGCCTAGAGGAGTGAAGCTGAGCTGAGGCATGGATGCAGCTATGTGGCACGAGCAATGCCGTCCTCACGCCTGTAATCCACTGTACGTAACGATACTCCCCATATCCCAGTTTAATCATCACCTAATTTTTTGATGAGATTTTCTCAAAACAATCGTCATCTAACAAAGCGTCTCTTAATTTATTTATTTGTGTAAAGAGTAATTAATAAATGTGTATCCTGAAATGATCTACTACATGTATGCAACTATGCATGTAGCTACTCAAGATTAATATCTATTTGATTTTACTCATGCAACACAATATCAACTCATGCAACATTTAAAGTGTGAATCAATTTTTATTGGACATGAAGAGACAGAGCGTATTGATTGATGATGATTAATTTAATAATGATGAATGTCTTTGGTGTCTTTAATTAGACTTGATGTCTTTGCTTAGGAGATGACTAAGGGTTTAAGGCCTGTTTGATTCATGGAACTAATCCGTTTGGCAAAACGCCATGCTCCATGGAAGCGTGTACACAACAACACCATTTTCGCTCTTTATAAATAGATATAATCTTTCACTCTTTTAATATTTTTCTGGACAAAATTTCCTCTGTGTCGTTCGTTTTCTCTCCCATGCACCGAGCTGAGAGCCTGAGACCTGACACTTTCCCTTGTCCATCGATGGCCTCACTGTCACTGGTGCAGAGTGTATCCTTGCAGCCAGCGTACTTCGAACACGGATAAAATGAAACTTAAAAATGTAAGAAATAGTGAAAATGACATTATGGCGTACACCCGTGCGATTTTACAAGTTATATCATACTAACGGATCCGCTCTTTTTACAATAGTATAATCACAGTTTTCTCACATATAAGGATGGACGAAAACAACGCAACGCCCACATCACAAGTATACTCATCCATATAAATTCACACGCACATCCTACCCATCAACATCTCTCCAGAAGATTGAACCGACATATTTTGAGATTGACGAAGTCACGATGGGTGTCTTATTGTCGACGACCTATCCTATAAGTATTTCTGGAAGACTAACACAACATATTTTGAAATTGACGAAATCACCACAGATGGCTCACAGTCAATGAGTACGTTATCTATCACTGAAAACATAATTAACCGTAAATACAAGTATTCATGTTAAATTTCAAACTTGATCTTGGTAATATGTTAATTAATTGAGTTACACTCGCTTCATATGTACTACATATTATTTTGTTATTTTGGTGTCTGCTACGAAACATTGTTCCTCGCTGAATTCCCATGGGAAACGAATCACAGTCTCACAGGTTTTGTCCTTTCAGTCCTAGGAAATTTCTCTTGATTCCCCCGGCTCGCGATTTCTGGTCATACTCCAACAAAATACCAGTAATTAGTAATGGCACTCGTAAGATTGTGAAAATTACGATTAAGACTGAGAATATCAACAAACACTCCATCCAACTAAACGATCAAATTACTGGTCCCGTTCGTAAGTGCTGAATAACATTAAGTACGGAGATGCAAAATAAAAAAAAGCCGTATGATTAATTGAGTTTTAGTTATTTATTTTTTAAAAAATGAATTTATTTGATATTTTAAATCAATTTCTGCATATAAAGTTTTATATGAAATATACCGTTTAACAGTTTGAAAAACGTGCTAATATTTTCTTAAAAAACATGCTAATAAAACATGAAATGAAATCTTTATCTCATTTAGTAACAAACAAGGCCTCTCAGTTCTAAGTTGATATCTAAGTTGTCGCAACGGTCCATCAACTGGCCTAAACCAGTTTTTTTTTTTCAGATGTGCTCCTCCGTCCCATAAAAAACCAATCTAGTATTGGATATAACACATCCTACATTTATCTAGATTTATTATACTAGAATATGTCACATCCAGTCCCATATTTTTTTAGGACGGAGGGAGGAGGTACTTATGAGCTAGTACATGTAAACTGCTTGGGGGTGTCATTTGAAAATATCGTTTATGTAGTAGTGGATACATATTTTACATCGGTTTCATTACTATGTTTTTTAAATTGTTAAACGGTATATTTCGTTAAAAAAATTTATACAAAAGTTAATTCAAAATATCAAATAAATTAATTTTAAAGATTCGTAATAATTAAAACTTAATTAATCTTGAGCTAATGGTTTTCTTCATCTTCATCTTCTGTACTCACTTGGTCTCTTAAAATGCAAATCAGAGCAAGATGTGACACTGCTCTATGTCATGTTTTATGGGACGGAAGGAAAGAGTACGAACCAGCGACACCGTCTGTGCAGCAGCAGTGAGTGAGAGAGTAGATAGATTCTGCGGCCACGTTGAGCTGGCCCAGCAACCTATAAATTCTGCCACGTGCACCGGCAGTCAGCAAGAATCTTTAACCACATGGCTTGAGCACCCTCCATTGGCTGGCTTCCTCTGACCTTGTGGGCCCGGCAATGCTTGTGGTCAAAGCTTACACTCCCTTTTGAGCTGCTTGAACTTGTTTCCCTCTAAACTCCAAAGACATTTGAATTGCACAAGGATTATCATTGTAATTACTAGAGGATAAGCAAATTGCAGACAAATTTTATTATTTCTGGCTCCACCATTGTAAGGAGTAGATAACTATTTAGAAACACCCCGATTCTCATAAGTTGTTTATCATAACATTCAGCTCTCCCGCATAAGCATTAACCCCAAGACATGAGCCATACCATTGTCTGGAGTCTTAAGTTTTAACTCTCACATCGAATTATCCTAAGAGCAAATTTAATAACTATAAGCCAATCACATGCTTATATGGAGGAGAGAGAATAAGAAAAATAATGAGTGCTAGCTCTTACATATTCTTCTAAGCAAATACTCCTATTAATTACATAAAGATAAGAAGGTAAAATTAGAGATAAACTTATAGCTAATCTATTATCGAAAATGCTATGCATACAATTGTTATGTACGATTCTCGTACGATTGCTGACGAATGGTGAGCGTTACTTAGTTGCATCGCTAGAAAATGACTGGACAACATGATTGGCTTCCGTTGAAAACATTACATCGTACGAGCTCCGTAGGCAAAATATCGTACATATGGTAGCTCTCAATCAACTATACATGTTAACTCTTAGATTCATTTATAGCTAATAGTTACTCCCTCCGGGTTGATAATACTTGTCGTTTTGGACAAGGACACGGTCTTCAAAAAGTAGCTTTGACAACTATTTTCTATTATAATATATATATAGAAATATCAACAAATATATAATTTTATTGAAATACTTTTTAAAACTAATCTACGCATCTGGTTTTTATATTTTCAAGACAAATATAGCCCAGGTAGAGTAGCTGTATTGTTACATAATCTGTATACCATTCTTTGAAGTGAGACAACCAAGAAGAAAAGAAGAGGCAAAGGTGAAGGGGGAAAACGTGTCTCACCTTCTACGCCTTCACATGGATTTCAGGTACTTTCTTCCAAGAGTTGCTGCAGCGCGCCATGCTAGTTGCCAGCCACTCTCCAACAGCGGCAGCCATCACAACGGTAACAGTGCACTCGATGAAACGACAGATTTGCCCCTCCCATCACTCTCACTCACAAAAGTTTGCTTCCATTGGAGAGCAAATGTTGGCACTCTCCATTCTGCAGCCATATGCTAACGAAAGAGAATATATCATGCTCTCTACTAGCATTGGTAGTAAATTTTTATGGAACATATATTTTCTCTAAATGTTTTAAATGGAAAAAAAAATTACAGTATGTCCACATGAATACGAGGGAAGTTCCTTTACAAAGATTAAGGTTCCATTGAAAAAAAAGGGTGAATATTGTATCAATATTCGGTTGTCATCCACTAATTTCACGTAGTTGCCAACAATAGTATGCTCAAAATTGAATATCATACCCCTTCAGTTTTTAAATGTACTACATGATTGGCTTTAGACATGATGTTTAATCACTAATTCGTCTTATTAAAAGTTATTATTTATTTTGTTGTAACTTATTTTATCATTTGAGATACTTTAACCATGACTCAATTTTTTTTATATTTTACACTTGATTAGTTAAATAAGACGAATAATAAAATATCAGGCCTAAAAGTCAGCAATGTCCTATTTTAAAACAAAGGAAGTATTCCATTTGAAAAGTGAGAAAAATTCTAATTTCTACACAAAATGAATTATATTTTTGTTCTTGCATGTGAAAATCCTTTATAACATAGAAGAACCTTCAGGGATGGTGATGAATGAATGGGTCCATAAATCTCCTCATCAGTGTTTAAATCTTAGTGTCCATAAATATTATGTACGTATAGGTGCCTCTTTAAATAAAAAATCAATGAGATCAAAGATTTACCATATTTTCTCTATTTTATCAGAAAATGTGTGAAGGGATGGAAGTACGTGCCTAAACCGTGTAAGTGACCTATTTTTCTGATTAAGATACATATATTCTATCTCGATTTTCGTTAGCACATTTTTCACACGAATAGACTATGTGTTCTGCGCGAAAACTTTCTATATATTAAAATATGCGATAAATTCAATTTTCAAATTAAAATAATTAAAACTGAATTAATCATGCTCTTTTCTTTTGGTTTTTAGTGCCGTACCTATTTTTTCGAGTAAACTCAAACCATACCTATGTGGCCGTTACTACTATATCCATCCCAATATAAGTACAATTATGATTTTTCGTGTCTAATATTTGACTGTCTTTTTTATTTGAAAACTTTATGAAAGAATTAAAAAAACTAGTCACACATAAAGTATTATTCATATCTTATCATATGATAAGACTAGAAATACTAATCATAATATTTATTTTAGATAATATGAACAATCAAACGTTAGAGACGAAAATACACAACTGCAGACGGAGGTGGGAGAGAAACGATTCTCATTGTCCACCAACAAGGGTAGATTCGTAATCTTCCCTCCTCCTCGCTCTCAGGTAATTTTCTTTCTGAACACAAACCAAACCAAGCTGAAACGACTGGAGAAACCTCGAAAAGCACAAAGCACCCACCAAATCCACCCTCGACCAAGAAACTGAGGCAAGAAGAAGAAGAAGAAGAAGCCGCCGCGGCGAGATGCAGCAGCAGATGGCCATGCCGGCGGGGGCCGCCGCCGCCGCGGTGCCGCCGGCGGCCGGCATCACCACCGAGCAGATCCAAAAGGTTCGTTTCGCTTCCCTCACCCTCTCTCTCTCTCTCTCTCTCTCTCTCTCTATCTCGCTAGGGTTTCTGGAAAAGATGGCTCCTTTGGCGATTGCTTCGGCCAAAGATCAGATCTTTTTCGTGCCCGGGTGGACAAGTATTGAGCCTTTTTGTTCTTGTCTTGCCTTTAATCAAATGGGGGGATTAATCACTGAGGCGTAAATAAGAACGCATTTTTGCAGAGAGTGGAGACGCTTGTGCATGGGGGATTAGAGGTTTAAACAGCTTAAGAGAAGTCGAAATAGGCATGAAAATGTGATAGGAGTAAGGGGTGTGGTCTCCAGTTGAACCAAATTTTGAATCTATAGCCACCAGTCTCCAAATTTGGTAATACTGTAATATTGCGAAAAGCATGATACGGTTGAAATGATAAGCATGCATTAATGCATGAGGATGATAGGAATTTAGTAGTCCACAAGTTCGGTTTTCCCCTTTTTTTGGGGTTCTTGAATACGGCTTTCTGCTTTCATTGCCCCTTTTCTTGTTAGTAGTTTTGTTCTTTTTTGTGCTCTGTAACCACTGATGTGGTCTATTTTGCCCTTCTGTGTAGCTTCAATTTACCTTATGCCCTACTTATATGCTAATTTCTCTCTTATATGCTTAATAATTGGCACAGCTCCTGCCACTGTTATAAGAAAATGTTCATGCATGTTATTATACCTGATCAATATTGATGATAACATGTCAACATAAAAGAACTCTGCCTGCAAAATTTTATGCTACACACCTTTTGGCCCCTTACATTTCAGTTACAACAGAATCACACATCTGAATTATGTCAGCTCTCTGATCATGTAGTTGTGGTTGCATCAAGTTTGATACGAAAGAAATCAACCTTTTCTCAATCATTGGTCCACTATTGATCACAATAGCATTGACATCAGAAACCTAATATCGAATGGCTAGCATTAACTTAAGCTTGGGTTTTTCAAGAAATAAACCATGTTGCCATTGTAGAATGAAACTGCATATACAATTCTTACAGAGAGACGATAAATGAATTATTTTAAGATTACACATAGATTAGCATTATAGCGTGGTCATCAACATCATTAACTTCAGATACTTATTCAATTTCTCTTTTGCAGTATTTGGATGAAAATAAACAGCTAATTTTGGCCATCCTGGAAAATCAAAACCTAGGGAAGTTGGCTGAATGTGCTCAGTAAGTTGCTTGCTAAACATCTTTGAAAGGCTTTATTGCTGGATTACTATATGAAATGCTTCTAGGTGGCTGCCATATCTTGACCATTTTGTTTCATGTAAATGACCTAAAATTGGAAATCTGCAATTGTTGACGGCTTGGAAGATGTTTTCAGAACTACATTTGAAGTCATTTGATCTTATTCTGTTAAAATCATGCACTAAGGATTGCACACAAGTGCCAAGTTTTGATAGTTGTGTCTTCTGAAGTTTACTTTACCATTTGGAGGATCTAAATGACAGTGGTCAATAAGTTTTGGCATCTGAAATTTACTTTACCATTTGGAGGATCTAAATGACAGTGGCCAATATGTTTTGGCATCTGAAGTTTAGTTGACTTGCATGAAGTATATGCTTATTCACTGTCTTCCCTACTGAGGACCTATAATATGGAGAATAAAATCTTGTTTCTGTGCCTGATTTGATCATCTGGAACACCTTGCTTAATTACTCTATTGGTCTATCCAGTGTATGATATCGTATATATCTGTTGGCCTGTGCTATGCAATGGAAAGTTAGATTTTCAGCTGAATGCCTTATTAATTGTTGCAATGGATGAGGAGTTTGATCTTCTATCCAAGTGCTACTATGAAGTCCTATAAGGGATCTATCATTGCTTTATTGATGGATCTTTCCTATCTACATGCATTCAGTGGAGTTTGGGCCTACGTGTAACATGATGCCATGAAGATATAAGTTTTTGTGGGCAGATAGTTGTTTTAAATTTAATGTTCTTGGAAGTGTAACAATCATTTTCGTTTTACACCTTCTAGTGAAGGAACTCCTGCTTAGCTCCCATCTTTTTTGTCTGAATAGTAACTACCCCAAGGCATGAAAATCATCCTAGTGATACCAGCATGTAGTATTCTACTACTGTTGGATCTTTCACTTCACAACAGAAAATTCTTTTGAAGTTTGGGGGAAAAAACAAGATTAGTTTAACAGTTGAGCATCTGCATTACTCATTCCATCTTGATTTTGCCATGCTAGTTTCATCTGTCAAGGAAGAAGGTTGCAAGATTTCTAATCTTCTTTGATGCACCAAACTTGTCTAGTTGTCTTAATTGAATTATTCGTAATGTGATCTGCCTATTTGGATGCAGCCTTCTAAATGATCTTGTAACAATGCTTATCTTTCATGCTCTCATATTTTAGGTACCAAGCTCAGCTTCAAAAGAATCTCTTGTATCTGGCTGCCATTGCAGATGCCCAACCACCTCAGAATCCAGGAAGTCGCCCTCAGGTTAGTTATGTTCCACATGTCAGCATAACACCGCCTCAATCTCTCCTTACTGTTAAGTTCACTCAAATAACTATTTCTCCGAATAGATGATGCAGCCTGGTGCTACCCCAGGTGCTGGGCATTACATGTCCCAAGTACCGATGTTCCCTCCAAGAACTCCCTTAACCCCACAACAGATGCAAGAGCAGCAGCAGCAGCAACTCCAGCAACAGCAAGCTCAGGCTCTAGCCTTCCCCGGCCAGATGCTAATGAGACCAGGTACTGTCAATGGCATGCAATCTATCCCAGTTGCTGACCCTGCTCGCGCAGCCGATCTTCAGACGGCAGCACCGGGCTCGGTAGATGGCCGAGGAAACAAGCAGGATGCAACCTCGGAGCCTTCCGGGACCGAGAGCCACAAGAGTGCGGGAGCAGATAACGACGCAGGCGGTGACATAGCGGAGAAGTCCTGAGCTAGCACAAGTGTTAGGATGAATAATGCCATGTATACTAGCAATGAAAAAGAAAGAAAGCCCCCTGCCTCGTGGATCACAAGTAGTCCTTACTCATCACCCCCTGTGTTTTAGAAGGCTCGTCTTATCGGTGTTGTAGAACAAAACTTTTAGATTGATGATGATGTAACCTATCAGAGATTCTTATCTCATCCTACAATTGTTGTAGCTATTATGGAATAATTTTACCAGCCTGAGAGAGTTTTTACTTCTGTTTGCCTGCTAATATAATGGTTAGTGTGATGAACTTAAAAAGGCGGTTGTATTTTGCAAGCTTATATTCTTGTACTCCTTTTTTCTTTTTATAAGGCATACTATAAAGTCAAAATGTCAAAGTTTGTAAGTATATTTGGCATGTAAAAACTATACCAACAAAATTATACTTCAATGTATTTTCATATAATGTTGGTTCTGTTTTAATTAACAAAATAGCTAGTAGTCAAAGTTTATATGTCTTGACCTTTTGACTTCATAATACGCCTTATAAAAAGAAATGGAGGTTACTTTCTTGAAAGGATCTGAAACCTATGCCTTTTCATCCTAATCTAGGCATGACATGTTTCCAGATTTTGAAGCATCGGCTTTAATGCAATATGATGTATCCCATCAAGGCAATCTTACAAACTGAAGAAACAAAATACTGCATGAATGCAAAGATTGCTTGGACGTTAGCAATGCATTGTGGCAACAAGATACTGAGATAATACTATCCACGGCATTCATGCAAGGCAAAAGCTAGATATCTTCAATGTAAATTCTGGTAGGCAAGATGAGAAAAAAAAAGGGTTAAAAAATGTCATCAATACATAAACAATATTCTGCCTTTGTGACAGCAACTCCAGGTGACAAGGGGAAACAAAAACAAGGCAAAAGCCATATTCCACATGTTTCAGTAATTCGGAAGGCTGGGCTGAGCATGCATAAACTCAGGCCCAACTTCGAACAATCTTTTCCTATCACACCCACATTCAGATAAGGCTAAAGATCCTTCTGAGATGATCAGAACCTTCGTCGCTTTCTCCTTGTAGCTTCTTTTGGGAACTTGAGGGGAGCTGGAAGTGTCATTACAGAGGATTTAAATGCACCGGCCGACGAAGATTTGCATCCCAGCTGGTCATAATATGGTTTAATCATCTGGCGGGTCATTTTCAGGTCTTCACATATATCCTTAGGGTCGGATCTGAAGTCATCAGCGTAGAGCGTGAGTACGAGAATGTAGTTGATCAGAAGCTCGTGTTTCTCTGTTGACAAGGCGCTAGATCCTGGTTCCGTAAACATTAGCACCATCTTACGATATACATACTGTGGGATCACTGGTCCACTGGTAGCCTGGTTTTCCTTTCTGTGCCGCTTGGACATGGAGCTGTTCCGTGCCAGCAGGGATAGGAGATGTGTGATGTAGGACAGTATCCAAGCAAGCCTCTCCTTATCTTCACCCTAAAGCATATAAAACATACACATATTGCATTTAGAGCATATGGAATAAAAGAAACAACTCTACAAACACAGTTTTTAGTTGAGTTCAGTATGACATAAGTTAAACAGATGGCTGCCATTGTCTCGAGAGCAATCTGAGTAAATATCTTAATAAAGAGGGGAAAACATGCAAATCAGGATTGTTCTACATGGCATCATTGCAATTGAGTGTCTGCCATCCAATTCTAGGTAGAAACAGTTTGCTCACATCACAGCAAAAACTCTGTAACTGTCAACTACAATATTTCAGCAAATAAATTCTTTTTGCACTGACTAAAGGAAGATCCGAGTCAATTAATAGCTACTTCCCTGTATGCTTGAGTGCTTGACAACATAAAGTAATCTTATTTTCCTTTGATTAGTGTACAATAAATTACTGTCTCCTAAAACTATATCAGCAACTCTTAAGAGTTTACAATTAACACACCTACAACCACCAAAAGTCAGGAGCATTTCTCATTAAATTTTCCTAGAAGTGGATTATTAGTATATGCATGGGGTAATTCAATATGAAACAAAGATTCAGGAGAACCAGATAAAAAGAAAACCATCAGTATTTACCTGAAGCTCCTGTAATTTATTAACACGATTTGACACAAAACTCCCATAGCCTTTTGAAGAAATTTCTCCTGACTCAAAATGTCCTATAATATCCACAAGGTGCGGCCTTATACTCTTTGGAATAATCTCATCAAAAAGATATGCCCTTTCTGATGTATCTGCTGCAGGATCATAAGGTGGAATGTTCCGTACAGTTGGTTCTTGACTTTCATTAGCACCCACACTGGTATCAGCATTCCCAAGGTCAAGGTCCATAAAAGCAGAAGGATCATTCCTTTGTTCATTTAATGACTGCCACTTAATATCCTGCAAGGAATATATAGCATGAATCAAACTCATGACTGTATCCAAACAAGCAAGCACAATCATGTCATGGTCTGCTGCTTCGTTATGCACTTAAGATGGGTGTAAAGTGAAGAAATTGAGGTGATGTATCCGTTAAGCAACTCTTGATGAAAAAAGTATGGGTATGTAATGTAGAAAATGCAACAGTATAAGCATCCACGGTCCAAAAAAAAAACAGATTTTAGTTTTAAACCACCTGTGTACAGATCCATAAAATCATTCCTTTTATTACATGAAAAAAAGGGGGAAACAAAATTTCTCTAGATGGTTAGATGTGCAAAACTAATCTACCAGAAGTCGTATATCATCTGAATTTCTGGGCCTGCAAAATCTTCTGATCTGTAAATGTGCCCAGACCCTTTATCCTATAAACATATTATCTTTAAAAAGTATAACAAACCTAATCAACTTTTGAGTTTAAACTGCACCGTGCATGCAACTTTATACACCACGTTATCAAATATAGGAAACAGAAAGATAGTAAACCCGGGGCATAAACATACCTTGGCCTTGTCTTTCTGGGTTCCAAACGCCTTGGTAATATCCTGTACCTTCAAGTCAGCATCTCCTGCTGATGATACTGCCTCCCCTACTGCCCCAGAGTGCTGCGAATGCGCCAGTTTCTGCACTTCAAGGTGCGGATCTAGCCTAAGAATCTGTTAGCAAATACAAATATCCAGAGCAAAATTACATATCCTCATGCCGTATGAACAACATAGGTTCTTCACTTTGAAATGCAAATAATTAATTAATCACAATGGTAAACCAACAAATCTATATTTCCTTAGCAAGTGCTCAAACTTCATAAACTATCTTAATATATATCATTATGCCACATCATTGGAATTGGTAACACCAAGGAAAGAGCTAGCAGCTTCACAGCTACAGTGCTCAAGTCCATTGTTCAATTGCCACTCAATTGCGCCGCTGTATGTAATGTCACAAGTAGAACAACAATTTCTACTCAACACTAACACATTTCTTGCCCATTGGAGCCAGCATGTCATCAAAACAAAAACTGCTTAAAACACTATACTGTGACAGGACCTATCACCCATTTCGTTCCAATTAGTGACAACAGTTATCAGATGGATCAAAGCTTGGGTGGAAATGGAATGGTGCTCACCTTGTTGGCGGCGATGGGGACGACCTTGAGGGTGCCGGAGGCCTTGTCGAGGACACCGAGCGCGTAGCCAGTGAGCTGCGGCAGCACGGCCTCGCCGGCGTAGCTCCGCCCGACGAAGTCCGGCCCTCCGCCGCCACCAGTGGCGGCGCCGACCACGAGCTCGATGCGGGATGGGTGCTTCGTGTGGCGGAACAGCCTCGTGCGGGGGGCCTCTCTACCCTTCCTGCCGCCGCCGGCGGCCAGGGGGTCGTAGCCGGTCGGGAAGTAGGCGACGACGGGGGCTGCGCCCGCGGCGGCGGCGCCGGTGAGGGAGGCGTCCACGGTGACATGGACGACTTCCCGCTTCTTCTCGGGGACATTGGTGTCTTCCTGCTTCTTGGAGTGCTTCTTCTCCTTCTTCTTGGGGGAGGCAGCGGCCATGGTGGCATCGATGGCTTCCCGCTTCTTCTTGGAGTGCTTCTCCTTCTTCTTGGGGGAGGGGGAGGCGGCGGCGGCGAGGGAGTCGTCGACGGTGGCATTGCTGTCCTCCGGCTTCTTGGAGTGCTTCTTCTTCCTCTTGGGGGAGGAGGCGGCGGGCTGGTGGTCCGCCATTGGAGACGGCTCTAGGGCTTTTCGAGGTCGCCAATTGTCTAGGGTTCTTGAGGTTCTTGTAGCGGAGGGGAAGGGGATTGGATATATGCATCCAAGTCCTCCTATAGTTTTGTATTTACATTTTGGATTATTTTCCACGTTTTCTGCACATTTTTTTTTGTTCTTTCCTAATTCCTACTACCAATTGTTGTATTAGTAGCAAAGTTTAGGTCCATCTTATCAGATGATGAATTGTATTCCCTCTATTTTTTAAGATTAACAAATCGTTTTAAGTCCATCTTATCAGATGATGAATTGTAGTCCCTCCATTTGCGCAAAAAAAAAAAAGATTAACAAGTCGTTTTGATTTTGGTTAAAATCAATCTACTTACTCTTAGTTTAACCAAGTTTATAGAAAAAAAGTAGTACTTCAATAAAACTAATTTGGTGCTGTAGATATTATAATATATTTGTCTACAAACTTAATCAAATTTAGAGTAGCTTAACTTTGACTAAAGTCAAAACGACTTATAATCTGATATAGGTTGTATTTCACACTATTGTCAGGATATCCACAAAACTTGGTGCTTGGTTTATTTACCTCCCAAAAAGATCTAAATAGAAAAGGTAGAGAATTAGTAAAAACCTATCGAATTTTGGAGTTTCGCGGTAAATTACTCGAATTTACTAATTGAGCATAGATACACACATCTTCTTCATGTACAGTACTTGTAGTGTTACCAGAGAATAGGGAAAATTATAACGAGGCACATTTGCAAATGCATTATTAAACTGCTAACTTGTACAAATTATACAATGTAAACACAACTACATAGTTAAAAAAAAAGAGAACTGAAATCTTATGAGAAGTGACGTGAGTTGCAGGGCAACATCCTACACAGATTTCCCCTCCATTCAGTCACTCAAGTCAGTATATTACACATATTCAGTTGCAGGCTTGCAGCTCATGTTGGACAACAACAGATTGACTAATTGAGTAACAAGGAACTAATTAACACTGCTTCTGCCGACTCATTGGTCATACAGGTTGTAAGTTTTTCTATTATGATCCTATGTACAGTGTCAGCCTCGCAAGAATTTATGTCAGGAGCATCCACATGACACCAACCAGCGATTGGTCTGCATAAACAAGTTTGTGTCAAACACACATGACGACATAAAACTCATGCAAGAAAGTGAAAGAACTACTGGACAGCAGATATAGATGAAAAGTACCTCAGGGTGCTTTTGTTCAACATGGAAGCCATTTCTCATGGCCGCTGCTGCGTGCCAGAGACCTTGTACAGCATAGCGTGCACTGCGGCTATACCTCAAATATCAACAGCAGGTAACGGCATTTTCCAGTAATTCCAAGTATTGTAGTCCTCCTGAAGTAAGGAAGAATTTCCATCAGGTCAAGGAGCATTGACAATATGGTAAACATACTTCGATTGGCAGAACAATACTCTGTTTACAGGAGTGCTGATATATGTGCATTATAGAACATGACAAACCTGCTCAGATGACGTTGATATCGGAGGGAACATCCCATTGACAAGAGCATGGAGGGATGTGTATGATTTTGTATCTACTCGACGATTCACCGCAACTTCACCCTGCACAAAATTTACACACATTTTCTAAATGCCATCTCCAATATGTTCACTGGCTGGGCCTGATCCAATTATGCAGATAGAGAAACTTTGTTGGATGTAGGAAGGGACCATCTGTCTAAGTGATCTGTTACCTTGGGATTTATAATAAAAATTTTGCCCATAGGAATCCCAACCTTGAGGTAACTAAGCTCATCTGTATCTCTATTTCCAAATCCAGCATAGAATGGATTTGAGTCAGGAGGAAATAGTGCTTTGATAGCCTGTGTGAAACAGGTGAATCAAGACTTGGTACGAATTATTTCATGAGCGCAATGAAGAGCAAGCAATTATTCAATGTATGTTCATATATTTATCTTTGTGTTGCTGAGTACTGACCCCTAGGCATGAGATCTTGAATTCGTGAGGAGCTCGTCTGATAACTGCAAATGAATGTCAAAGAACATCAGAGAGCATAATATTAAAGAAAATACATTGGAGTCTGCAGGAGATAGTTTCAGCTTTCAACCAAGTAATAACCAAACTGTAAGCATTTATCAAATTGTTGGTAAATAGGGAGAGTGGGCAGGAGATAGTTTCAGCTTTCAACCAATTAATAACCAAACTGTAAGCAGTTATCAGACGTAGGGGGGCACTCACTGCTCACCTTCTCTGTAAAGTGATGGAAATAGCCCATCAGGAGATATCACAACAGGGCCATCAGGAAGAGCTTTTCCATCCTGAAATCCATAATCACATGTTCATATGAGATGAAATAGATGGGAATCTAGAGTAGTTTAAGATTATCTTTATGTGTGGCTTTCCAAACACATACAACCAATTCTGCTAGTTCATTGGACATAAAAGCTTACAAAGACGAGACCAATCCTATGGTTCTATGCACTAGGGCATATACATATCAATAATGGAAGGCATAAGGATAGAACTAAACTAAACCTGCTTAAGGTTGAAAAGAAACTGCCTTGTCAGGTGAGCTTGTGAAATAGCACGCGCACTCAAGAAAAGCAACTGATATCCATTTTCCTGCAGAAATGGAAGGCAACAAGAACAAGCTCAAGTCAATAAACATTTTAGGACCAGATTGGTGCATGAATTCACATAGATAGAGACAAACACACACACACAGTATAAAACGCAATAATCAGTCAATTCCTACTGGTTTGTGCTACATAAGGAAGTGGAACTTAAAATGGTGCATGAGTAGCATGCATACCTTTATTGCAGAAAATAAATGTGCAACACCATTTTGAGACCAATCAACACCAACCAGCGGCATGAACTGGCCAAGAACATCAGACCTACATTTATATTGATAAATTGTAGGCACTTGTTAGGTTAAGTTAAAATACTTTTTGCATGTTTTGTGAACTCAGCTAGTTCCTATGAATTGTTTCAGTTACATGAAGTTTACTGCCTTCCATCTCTTTTATTAGTAGTATAAACGTTTTCCAACAAGAAGGAACATGCTTTTGTTGTTCATAATTCTTCGGAAAAATGTGTTTCCATACTGATTACAATGCAACATTGATGTTAATGTTTAGAGAACACCAAAGAAATAAAACAACTTGAGAAAAATGTGTACAAAGTATAAACACAACAAAAGAAATAGCTACCCAGAAAGAGGCCCAGTAAGGCTGTAACTGGCTGGTAACTCTGCCAGTTACTGCCTACCAGCCTAGCTCTGTAAATTTTGAAAATTCTGGTCTTTTTTCGATCCTTGCTCATGGCAATCAAGTATCCAAACTATAATTCTTAAATTCTTAAATGTTCCAGTTCTGCATCTTACTTGGTGATAGTTCCATCAACATCTGAAATGACAATGCGTGCATTCCATTTCCATAAATATATGTGAGCATCTACCTGTTGAAGAAGGTTTGGGAGATTAGAAACTCTATGGCAATTAAGTGAAACAATGTGGAAATGGAAACTTACCTGCTGTTTTCCAAGCATTCCAGTTGAGAAGGTAAATGTTACCACGTTCCTGCCCTCTCTGAGATCAAGAGATGCTAGCTCCTCAGATGTTGGAGTGAGCGAACGCACTTTTCTCTCCATCCTCTTTGCCCTGGGTTTGTTGTTTTCTCTCTCCACTTCTTTAACAGGAGCGGAAGAGGAAGCCTCCTCAGTGCTTTCAGAAACTGGCTGGACAGTGTTAACAGACCTTGTCCTTTTGAAAGAAAATGGCCATATTCTCCAGCCACCTGGTGCTGCATTTGGCTCAACTCGCTCTACCTTTATCATACCTTGGGGTTCAAAGGATTGTTCCTCCTGAAAAGAAACCATGCCCAGTATGACAGGTGCAGCTGCATCCCACGGAAAGTATCGACCAGCAATCCTAACAACAAGCTTGTTGTTTCTTATCAGCGACTGCTTCATGGCACGAAACTTCTCTAAGGTTACCTTCTCTGCATCGAATGCTTTGCATGCAGCATCTTCTCCCATGCCTTCTGATAACAGGTGCCTGCATAGGGATAATTCTGCACATAATGACAGCTAGATATTACTATCTGTTACTGGTACATATTGACATATGTGGTACTGCCGGGAACCAACAAAAGTTGCTATAAAACTAGCTATATAAATATGTCGAATTCGATGTATGTATACAAAACTGACTTTGCTTATGGCACAGCCAAGTTTCTGGTGAGGTCTAGAGAAATGGACATTACTTTTTTTTTTTGGGTGCAGATCAAGGTCGTTAAAACCTAGTAGTACCAAAAATATGAAACAATTGTATTGGACTATTAAAAAAGAGCTTACCCACACAAGGATTGAATGGATCTATTTTCAGGTTATCAGCTATTGCGCTGTTAGTAGGCTCCGGTGGGACAAAATTTTCTTTTGAATCACCAGTATCTTCTGGTTCCTGAATTGGCAAGTCAGAAGTTGTACTCTTGACTGGCTCAACCCCATTATTTTCACCGTTCGACTGTAGTGAGCGGCTTAGCTGAAAACTGTCAGACCTTTCAAGATCATGTATGTGAGAGCGGAGATTTGGTAGAGATTTAGCCTCCAGATTATTGTCATCTGAGTGAAACTCACTTCCTGGAATAGGAACAGGGATAGTCTCAGGCCTTGATGAATCAGAACAGTTTTCCAGGTTATTTCCAAGACCTGTATTATTCCCTCCCTGTTGTTCTGTGTCACAATCAGATTCATCATGTTCTACTGCACCTGCCTCTTTAGTAGATGCAGCATCATCTGTGGTCTTTCGATCAGCAAAGCTTTCACTGTCACTAAACTGAAATTGAATTTCTTCTACGAACTCTGAGAATGAAACAACTGCTTCTGCTTCTTCCCTTGGCTCGTATATAGCCTCAGGCACAAGCTTAATTTCGACTCCACTAGCAGAACTAGATCTGCTTTCAGTATCTTCTAGTGTGGTGCTTTCTGCTTCAACCTTTCTCAAACTAGAAAGATCAGAAATAATCTGTGAACCTTGCAGTTCTACTTTATTAGGAATATTAGCTGATGGAGAAATGCATTCTGTGGTCTCATCTCCCGTTGTTGACGTTTGGACAAGGGAAATGTTAAGCTCTCCATTGCATGTTTTATTTTCCACAATGAAGTCCTTTGTTACATCATGAAGATGATTATCAGGCACATAATTTGATATCTCTTCAACACTGGAAGAAGCAGCAGGAAAAACAAAATCATGATTGCAAGCTAAATCATTTACTATATGGGCACTACGATCATTAACAACAGTATCCACACAAATATCCTTGTCTGGAACAAATTCTTGGGAGTTTTGGGAACCGGAATCCTCAAAGACTGGCACCTGTTGGTCTTGAATACCCAGCTTAGTCATGTCTTCAATATTGCTGGAAGCACCATAATATGACAGTGGTTTGTCCTCAAAACTTACATGTTCTATTTCCTCAATGGAGACTCCCGACTGCTCTTTGGGCTGTAAAGAATCATCCAGTGGGTTACCAACAGCATGACAAACTTTGTCAACCAAAATATCAGGCACATTATATGAGGTCTCCACAGTCTCATAGCTGCTGACAATGACCACTTTCTCTTGGCATGCATCTTGAGCAGAAGTAATTGAAGAGATGTCATGCATTTCACTTGACAAACCTGCAGTTTCATAAACAGGTGAATTTGCATCAGAACAATCTTGGCATGTTTTTACAGTGACAAACTGTGAAATCTCCTCACTCTTACCAATGGTAATGTTTGTCTCACCAGCATGGGTTTCAAAAATAACATGGGAAAGGACCTCCCTGGTGTGCATTTCCCTTCCAGTGTCATCTTGAAAATTATCCAACATCTCACTTTGAGTATCAATGGGGTCACTGATAATTTCCTCGGTTTGAGTATCAATGGGCTCACTGATAATTTTCTCACTTTGAGTATCAATGGGGTCACTGATAATTTTCTCGGTTTGAGTATCAATGGGCTCACTGATAATTTTCTCACTTTGCGCTTCAATGGGCTCACTGATAATTTTCTCGGTTTGAGCATCAATGGGCTCACTGATAATTTTCTCACTTTGCGCTTCAATGGGGTCACTGATAATTTTCTCGGTTTGAGTATCAATGGGCTCACTGATAATTTTCTCACTTTGCGCTTCAATGGGCTCACTGATAATTTTCTCACTTTGAGCATCAATGGGCTCACTGATAATTTTCTCACTTTGCGTTTCAATGGGCTCACTGATAATTTTCTCACTTTGAGTATCAATGGGCTCACTGATAATTTTCTCACTTTGCGTTTCAATGGGCTCACTGATAATTTTCTCACTTTGAGTATCAATGGGCTCACTGGTAATTTTATCTGTACCTGGATCATTTGATGAAGACTCTATTCCTGCCTGGTCTGTACCATCAATCGAAACACTGCTATCACGCGTGTAAATCTCAACAACTTCCTCCTTGACACTAGTTGTTTGTATATAATGGTTGTTTTCATCTCCCAAACTATCTGTTCCTCCCTGCGGACTAAAAAAATTGCTATCCACACTGCCTCTATTAGAGGAGCCCATGTCTTTCTCCTGATCAATGCTACATGACGGCGATACCACTTTTGAGGTTTCCACCTGATTACCATTTACAGGATCTTCTAAATTACTCTTGGAAGGCTCATCGAGAGATCTACGAGCTTTTGCACCACGTGGCGGATTCGTCGACCAATTGGTATCAAGGAGCTCAGCAGCAATCTCGGCACGCTCTAACGAGCTCACCCTATCCACCCCATCCGGACCGTCCTTGATCGATTTCCGACCAAACATCCGCTCGAGTATGGTAACCCGCCTCGAGCTCGTCCTCGCGAGGATCTTGCCGTCCCCGGCATTGGCCTCCATGGTGGAGCTATCGCACGATATGCTCTTCGACTTCCTGAGCTGCGTGTCCTGCACCGGCAGCGGTGGCGGCGGCGCCGCCTCGTCCCGCTCGTCCCCGGACGACACGGGGGACACGGCGAACTCCCCTTCCTCGAGGTTGGGCTCCCCGTTGCGGAGGAAGTAGGCCTCCCCGTTGCTGTCGAGGTACATGTGGAACCCGGCCTCGACGCCATTGACGGCGATGGTGACCACCTTCTCCCGCGTCTTGAGCACCCCCTGGAACTTGCCGAACCGGACGTACCACGGCGAGCTCTTGAACCCGCCGCCGTCCTGCTGCTGCACCACCACTACATCCACCGCGCCGCCGAACGGGTGGAACGGGCCGGAGACGGTGTACACGCTCCGCGAGATGAAGCTCCCGAACTTCCCCACCGCGTACATCTCGCCGCCGCCGCCGCCGCCGACCACCGGCGCCGTGCCCTAACTCCGCCGCGCATCCGACCGAATCCGCAACAAAATCAAATCCAACTCCAAACTCAATCCCCACACACACCGATCGAGATTCTTCCGAGATGATTGGGGGATGTGATACCTCGAATCGAGCCCCAATTCGAGGCGGAGGCGGATCGGAGGGGGAGATCTCGAAGCGGGAGGGGGAGTGAGGAGTGGGATTTTGGGGGAGGAGGAGGTGGGGAGGAAGGAATTAATGCGGGGTTAGAATGTTAGATGGTGGATGGAGGAAGAAGAAGAGGAAGAAGAAGAAGGGATGAATCGGAGCATATTCCGGGATCGAACGGGTGAATTATTCCAACACGAAAGCATATATAGATTTCAGATTTGTGGGGGATTATCTGGTGGTAATGACAATGACATGATAATGCCACTAACGTTTACTATTAACCACCTGCTTTTAAATTTTTTCATAAATTTTGAATGGATGAATTGATATCGCCATCAACTGTCATTATCTGAGGGCTTGTTCACTTTGATAACATTTTGAACTTTACTAAGTTTTGGCATTATTAAATTTTAGTAAGATTTCATATGTACTTATAAAAATTTGGCAACAAACTAAATATAGCTATTTTTTAATAACTTTGGTATAAAAAAAAGGTAAGGTTGAAAATGGTAGTAAAGTGAACAAGCCCTAAAAGAAATGACCATCAACTATCTCGGATTCTCGGTCGTCTTTGTTAGTAGTAGTATTTATTTTAACCGCTTGATTGTTTACTTAGATTATGTTTTGTATGAAGGTGATGTAGACATGTTTGTTAAAAGAAGGATTCTGTAATATTATTGTACTTGTGTAATTTTTCTTGCGTAGAAGATTTATGAAGACATCAATGTTAAACTCTCTAAATGTTACTATCCCTTATTGACTTTGAAAGCTTCAAAATAAGTTTGTCTCTTTTTTTTTTTACAAAGAAGTGCTCCCTCCATCTTAAAAAAACGAATCTTAGCTATGGATTTGAACATTCACATGAGTCTTCTTTTTTTTTCATAAAAGGGAGGACATTTATATATATATATATATATATATATATATATATATATATATATATATATATATATATATATATATATATATATATTAAAGAACCGAATCTTAAACTTCTATGCCCATTTGAATCGTAGGAATGAAAAAACATAGAAATAGGAAAACCATAGAATTCTAATAAAAATACGAGTCCAAAACAGTGGATTGCAAAATATAGGACAAATATAGGAATACCGTTTGATTAGACCTCAGAAAAACATGGGAGTTGGATGAGAGATAGACTCAAAGGAAAGTTTTTAAGATATTGAAACTCTTACTAAATTTTCTCCAAAATCTCTATAAGATTTTCGGAGATTAGAATATGATTCAATCCTTTGTTTTAAAGATCTTCATAGGAAAATTTTAGAGAGAATCCATTATATACCACTGACTTTGTCACACGTCTACGATTTGCCACTGACTTTATCATGTTCTATAATATGCCATTGACTTTTGCTTAACTTCTACAATTTACCATCGCCGTCCGGTTAGTCTCCGTTAGTACTGTACAAATTTGTCGAAATGACCAAAATACCCCTAGGAGAAAAGGTTTCAAAATTTGGATAAAAAATATGAAATATCATATTTCAAGTTTTTGATCAAATTTTGGATGTTTACAATCTTATGTTTATAATATAATATTTTGATAATTTTATCCAAATTTTGGAAGTTTTTGTCATAGGGGTATTTTGGTCATTTCGACAAATTTGTACAGTACTAACGGTGGCTAACCGGACGGCGATGGTAAATCGTAGAAGTTTAGCAAAAGTCGATGGCATATTGTAGAACGTGACAAAGTCAGTGGTAAATCGTAGATGTGCGACAAAGTCAGTGGCATATAATGGATTGTCTCAAAATTTTATATAGGATTGAAATCCTCTAAGGGCCTTTTTGATTTAGAGGAAAAACATATGAATTTTGAAAGATTTCAATCCTATAGAAAAAAGTTCTATGGATGCCTTTGAATCAAAAGATTGAATCATACCCAATGCTTTGAAATTCCTATGAAATGGACATTCATATATAAATTTTGGAGGAAACTTAGCAAGAGTTTAAAGCTAGCTCTTAGAAAATTTCCTTTAAGTTTATCTCTCTCATCCGATTTATCCGATCTATGTGTTTTTCCTACGGTCCAATCAAACGATCATTTTTTGTGTTTTTTCTATATTTTGTAATTCTTTGTTTTACACTTTCATTTATGTTAGAATCTTATGTTTTTTTATTCCTTCATTTTTTCATTTTTACAAATCAAAAGGGTCTTAAAATTGTAGAGTAATGTTTTTCCTCCGAATCGAAGACCCTCGATGTGAGCAGCACTTTCCTTTTAGAAAAAATGTGAACAGAACAAGAGTACAAGACCTTGTGATTGACATAGCTCACACAAGTCACAAACCGATCCTATATGAGTCTGGACACGTAAAGGCAAAGCTAGTACTACATGATGAGCATCTTAACCGCCCTACATATAAATATATACCTTGTTCTTTTTTTTTTAAAAGAATATTCTGCTCACCAACATCTGGCTTGCGTATATTACAACATCACAAATTCACATATATTCGTTAATCCATATTGAGCAAATTGGCGCCGATCGTGCCACAAAGATGCTTGCCCAACGGTGACTCACACCATGCAAATGTGCAATGCTGATGTGCTGCAGATAAAAAGATACTACTAGGCAGGCAAGGCATGTGTAGCAGCCATCAGCAAATTGAGCAAGGCTGTGTTTTGGATCCAAAGTTTGAATTTTGGTTGAAATTAAAGATGATGTGACTGAAAAGTTGTGTGTGTATAACAGGTTGATGTGATGAAAAAGGACTAAAGTTTGGTTCTAAACTTTGGAGCTAAACACAGCCCAAATTGCAAAAGGTTTCTGCACTCTCTACTCAACCTGCTTTGGCAGCTTGTGTTCGCAGAACAGCCGGTAGTTATTACTGGTTGTTGCGACATGACATGGGAGCAATAACCAACGGTCAGCCAGAAAACCGCATCTATCTATCTACCATTCATTCATTCATTCATTCAAACGTCAGGTTCAAGAAGACGAGGAAAAAGAAGAAGAAGAACAAAACGTTTTCATGAAGAATTTGGTAACTGAAGATGCAGAAAGTTTGATCTTGCTCGATGTGGAGTCAGAGTGACACTGAAAGTCTGAAAAAATAAAGGCTTTACTAATTGCTACTGCAATTTTTCCAATCTTCTGCGAATGATACAGTGTGTTGTTCCAAATCTCCGATTAATAATCCTCGCATCATACTTTGGTGGGTCAAACTGTTAACTGCACAACTGTTCGTTGGCAAATTCAAAGGGTTTCGCGTCCCTGGAAATGATGTGATTTGTCACGCAAGATTTATTTATCTGCTCATAAGTTCTTCTAATCAAGAGAGCAGGTTTGCTAGTTACAGGAATCCATTCGCAGTGATCAATAGAGATTGGTTGGTCCAAAATGTTCATCTGGTAATCGATTAACAATCAGTTCATGTTTTGGCTGTCAGCAGCAAAACTGCAGCTTGAAGCAGTTCTGATGAAATTCAACCTAGATGCTTCGACAGTTCGACTACTTATAATCGAATAACAAAAACTGCACGCTCAGCAAGAAAATTCTTCCAACAGTTTTTTTCTCAAAGAAATTATTCCATCCACAAAAATTGTTGAGCGATGAACAAAGGGATCCCATGAACAAATAACAGCGCATGGCGTGGAGCTTGGTCAGCCGCTGGATCAGGGAGCAACGGCCTGGATGTAAGATGGAGCCACACGAATCGGGCATGTGATGCGGGCCGGAAAGGGGAGAACTATTTTATTGGGCCGTGTGCTCATAAATTGGGCCGCGTCAGAAGGTGAAGCCCACGCGCGTCGTACTGCGGGGGTGGCGCTGGCCACCTGGGTCCGTTGGATGGGGATCCGATGGTTTGTACGGGGGCGCTGCGGGGAAAGTTTAGTACCACATCGAAAGCCAACAGAGAAGGAGAGCAGCTTATAAACTCGCGCGCTGCAGCTAGGTCGTCACTTCGGTGACATCCGATAAAATTGGAACGATACAGAGAAGATTAGCATGGCCCCTGCGCAAGGATGACACGCACAAATCGAGAAATGGTCCAAATTTTTTTGAGATTTCTGCCCAGGCCCCTGCAGCCCATAGTTTTCCTTTCAGATCTGCCCCTGGACCATTCTTTTCGCGCCCTTGCCTATTCCGACTTCTTACATCTAGGCCCTTACATATTTGCAGTTTTCCCCCACGGTTTCCCATTAGCTTCTGTGCCGCCACCTACATTATTCAATCTCGCACTCTCCTTTTGCACAAATTAGGCATTTATTTTTTGTAAATTTATAATAAGAACTGCTTCATCTGCAGTAATTTTGCTGCTAGATAATTCAGTCGTAAGCCCTGCTGCTAGATAATTCAGTCGTAAGCCCTGCTGCTAGATAATTCAGTCGTAAGCCCTGACAGCCAGAACATTACGTTATTGCTTATCAATTGCCAAATGAATATTATGATCAACCTCGACTGATTACTGGAGAGTTTATTCTTGTAAGTAGAATGACTTCATTTTAGAAACTTATGAACAGAACTTTCTAAAACCTGTGGTAGCCAAGCCTTTCAGTGTCTGTCACTCTTCTCCGAGTCTGAAATTTGCTTCACATATCCACATTGAGCAGTTCAAACTGCCTGCATCTTCCAGTTGCCAAATTCTTCCAGTTTTCTTCTTATCTTCTTCAGTCTGACGTCTGAAATTTCTGAATGAATGAACGGTAGATAGATAGATGCGGTTGTGGCTGACTGTTGGTTGGCGAACACAAACCGCCAAAAGCGTGTTGAGTGGAGGGTGCATCCATGCATTCATAGGCTATGTTTAGATCCAGTGGTGAAAAGTTTTGGCGTATCACATCGAATATATGGACATACATTTGAAGTATTAAATATAAACTAATAACAAAACAAATTACAGATTTCACCTGTAAACTGTGAGATAAATTTATTAAGTCTAATTAATATGTCATTAGGCTTAAAAGATTCGTGTACTCAAAAGTCAAAACCTATATTACAAATTTATAATCATGATTGAAGTTAACTTGTGTAAGCTTTTTTTTAAAGATAACGGATTGATTAAACCCAGTCTACATCGACAAAGAGATGTACATAGCCAAAATTGTGTAGCTAATATACGTTCTAAAATAATATTCTTTTGATAAAGGAGGAAGTATACAATACTAAAACCCACCCTAACCATTTTTTATAATGTCGAGGGCCTTTTTTTACCATTCATGCCATTTATTGATACACTCAAAAAAAGGCCAAGACAGATGGCCAAATCATCTAGACAAAAAATAGTTGGAAATTTTTTAAAAGCAACGTTTTCAACGAGGGTTCCCCGGTTCAGCCAACAAGAAGTGGTTAATAATCGTAGTGGCATTGTCATGTCATTACCACCTGATAAGAGTAGTAACTTGGAATCAGCAGATGGGAGAAGATGAACCCGGAAGAGAACAGCAATTACAAAAAGGACCTAATTGTAATATGCTGGAAAATAAGAAGGTGCAAAAGGGAAGGACATGGATGTCTCGAAACTGTGAGGGGAAAACTGTTAAGATGAAAGGGCCTGGATGTAAGAAGTCGGAATAGGCAAGGGCGCGAAAAGAATGGTCCAGGGGCAGATCTGAAAGGAAAACTATGGGCTCCAGGGACCTGGGCAGAAATCTCAAAAAAATTTGGACTATTTCTCGATTTGTGCGTGTCATCCTTGCGCAGGGGCCATGCTAATCTTCTCTGTATCGTTCCAATTTTATCGGATGTCACCGAAGTGACGGCCTGGCTGCAGCGCGCGCGGTTATAAGCTGCTTATCTTTTCTGTTGGCTTTCGATGTGGTATTAAACTTGCCCCACAGCGCGCCCACGGAAACCATCGGATCACCATCCCACGGACCCAAGTAGCAAGCTCCACCCGCGCGAGCGTGCATGGGCCACCTGCACCTTCTGGTGCGGCCCAATGAGCTAACGGCCCATTGGTATACCTGTTTCGGCCCACAAACAAGTCCTTGTGGAAATGTGGAGCTTTCCTCTGTAACTTTGAAATCCTGAATTCTTCGATTTTTTTTTATCCCCAATGACTCTATGAGAATTGGAATCTCCATTCAAGTGTCCAGTTCTGTGTTTGGGATGGTTTTTCGCCCTAAGTTCCGTTTATTTTCCATTGGAGCAATTGAATTATTCTTCTGGGATAGTGATTATCCCAGTTCCAGGTTGGTTCATCATTCATCAAATTGACAACACAACAACATTCTAAAATATATTTTATCTTTTATTTTTTTTAAAGCATGAGCTGCTATTTCACTTAATCAGTAGGCATGTACCAAGCAATCCAAAAGGCAGTGAGTAGAGCAACAGAAATAATAAAGCACTCATGTACATATGCGCAGTTCCTCAGCAATAGTAACATATTATACTTCATTACTTTATCTACAAAAATATCTCGCATTTTATTCAATGGATAGCAGGTATCTCAAATTTTCACCAGCATCCATCAAACAATGTTCTCTCATAGTATACACTGGTCAGCTATATGCATCAGGGTACTCCAGTTGAACATTTTTACAATTTTGAGCGCCGTATGCATTTTATCGGATTGAAAGTGCCATGCTGACGAGCAATAGAATTTATATGCCTCCCGTTTATTGATGCAGAAGGCTTGAAGTCCCAGCCTTCTACGTTCTTGGGGACGCATACATCGTAAAGCATCTGACCCAACACTCCATGGGGGTTGTTAATGCTTTCCACACTGGGCATGTTGAACAACTCCGGTTTCGGCTCTTCGTTGCTGCTTTCATGATACTCCATGGAACTCGGTAGCAAGAAATGGTCAATCGGATCATCTGGTGCCCTTCTTAGCCTGTTGTTTGAATTCGTGCCAGCTTTATGCACGTCGGAGGCCAACATGTCGCTATGCTCACTTGTGCCTAGATCATAGCTGTTAAGTTGCCTCCTGCTCATGTAAAGCATTGAAGCCTTTGTGAGTAGCTCAGTTACTGCAGCTCGGTATTCCTCAGGATGATGCTTGTAGTGACCTGCAAGACAATTGTGAAGAAAAACTGATAAGTTGCAACACAGAATATTGTAGTCATAGCGCAAAGTAGAGATAAAGCTATAAGAGAGTGATAATCCTAATTCGTGCCTGGCGAAGAAAGTAGTCCTAATCCATACATGTAAACATGGCTTGTCATATGCAACTTCTGAGCGTTGAAACGAATCATGCCTCATGAATTAGGATTTCAGATGATTTAGTGAGGATGACAAAAGTTTCTCAGCAACAAATTCTTGCAAGGTGGAATAGCACATTTTTAATGATATAAGCTAGGGATTGATTCAATAAGTATCTTTATACATTTTAATTTTACCATATGGCCAACACAACACATGACTTTTTAGACGTTACGAGATTTTAGCAAATATCGATATAGCATACTATGATTCTTATTATTTAGTCCAACTAAAACTATAGATTACAGTAACATTCGGATGGAGTGGGAATATAACAGGAAAAGCATTAAAGTTTTCATGTAAGGACGCGAGTATAACTTGGTAAATTAGACAGCTACTTCTGAGAGTTGCAACTTCGAAGGGGGATCACATTTCCAAGAATGACTAAAGGCACCATTAGGCCAGCCTACTTTGGACCAACTTTTGCGTTTAGTATTATTTGATAATTTTAAGCAATGCATCGGCCGTCCTTTATTTGACCAGGACACAATCTACTAACTATAGCATCTCTACTGATTGGAATTTTGGAACTTAGCCAATCTTGTCCCAAGTTATCCTAACTCATTTCCAAAGATATAATGAAAACATGCATCCACATCTTATCTCTCAACTGACTCAAATCTCAAGTGGACTTGTTGGAATCCACAGGGTGTGGGCAAACAGATAAGTCTAGCCCACAAATGGGTCCACAATATAAATTAAATCAATTCAACACTATTTTTGGAAATTTTAGAGGGCCAACATAAACAATTAACTCCTAGCACTATTTCTGGACTTTGTCTGGAGTAACATATCAATAGATAAACAATTACTGGGGAGAAATGCTAAAAGATGGTCATATTTTGTCAAACTTCATGTCATCCTAATTTAGGACAATCCAATACTGAAAGGAGGTGTAGTTTGATATATAACATGGAATAAGAAGCTCACCTACATGAGGAGAATTTTGCCATTTAACTAGGTTCACATCACCACCAAGCTCCAGCAGACGTCGACCAAATTTTTGAACAATTGAACACGGAGCAAGTTCATCGTCTTCAGAACAGAATATGAGTATTGGACCAACATGCTGAAAGTACAATAGACCAATGTTTACTCAGATATCCACAAACACTTCCGTTGACAATCAGATTACAAGTCACTGAGAGAACAGAGTGACATACCACTGATGAGTATAGTGTGTCCCAATATTCTGCACGTTGCGCTTCAAATTTGCCAATGAACAGCGTGTCTAGTCCCGAGGCAATGCCTCTAGTCATCCATGATAGGATACGAGGCGGTTGAGACATCTTCAGGACACTTGGGTGAAGGAGAAATCGGGTGCCCAAATCACTAACAAAATCTACAGGACTCGAGTCGTACATCTGCCCGCAAAGACAGTCTCTTACAAGTTGATACTCCTCCTGTAGTGAGAAGAAAATATATATGAAGCTTTCACCAACATGGGTCAAAATTTTCCTACACTATTTTATTTTCGGCAATATAGCTCTAGGCTAAACTGTAATGAGCAAAGTGCGTACAACAAAGGAAGAAAGCAGAAAACTATACCAGGCTCAGTTGACCCTCGCATCTTCTCTCGATCAGCTGTCAATGAAAACATATTTTTTTTAATACTAAGACATTGGCAGCAACAGATAAATTGTTGAGCAGAAGGGACATAGAGTTCCATTACCTGAAGAACCTTGTATGTGCAGCCTTTTGGGCCTCCAGAGAATGAGGCAAACACAACAGGTACAGGTCTAACCTTCAGTTCCTGGATACCAAAGACAAATTCAGCGGATTTCAGTATTTCACCGATTAACAATCAAATACATTGGCATGTAAGTATGATCCACATGGAAATAAACTAAGGCCAAGTTGAAAGAGTATCCAACTTGTAGGAGTGTGCATCCTCTTAAACAATTATACCTAATGACTGACCTTAACTAGTTCTGCAAGCACCCTATCAGCAAGCATGGCAGCCTTATCAGGGAAAAACCTGCACAAAACACCAAATCAAATGGTATGATCAGTTCAACTCATATATTTCACCTAGATTAAATATCTATTTTCATAGGTTTTCCAAGAACAAGCAACATGATATCTCCCCTGGCTATCCGGCATACGCCAGTTCATCCAATTTGCCGATCTAGAATTCTTGAACAGAAATATAGTCCTACACACGACTAACTGATTACACAGGAGAACGAATTTTGCTGTCCTCCTATTCCAATCCTGAGAACTGAACAAAACTAAAATTCTAAAAAGCTTCTGGAATTAATCAAAACAGTCCAATTAATCAAACACCCTAAAATTTACACTCATCAACTCCAAGGAGTCGGTGCCAGGTGTTCAAGAACACTTGGAACCAGAATCAAGACAAAAATATAATCTACTTCCTTGCACGCCTGTACAATATCATAGTACTATCATCTAAATCATTCTCCCACATCCACGCGCCACTCACCGACCCCCAAGAACCACCAAAAATCCATGAAACAAACAAAAAAAAAACAAAACAAATCCACAACCATGCGAAATTGCCAAGATGCAGAAAGAGAGGAAGAGAGAGAGAGACGCACAGGGTGAGGAACTCGGAGTGGCAGACGAGGCACGCCCACCCGAGCGCCGCGTACAGCTCCACGTACGCCCGCACCTGCCGCTCCTGGCTCGACAGCCACGCGAACATCACCACCACCCCGCCGCCGCCGCCGCTCGGCCGCCGGCCGCCGCCCCAGTACTGCCGCCCCCACATCCCTCCACCTCCAGAACAATCTAGAACCTTCTCTCCACCCCCGCCGCGCTCTCTCCTCCGCTTCTTGAATTGGGGGAAGACGAAGAGGGGGAGAAGGTGGGTGTGTTGGTGTTTGTTGGGGTGGAATTTTTGGGGGGCGTGTGGCGATTAAAAGAGGGCGTGGTGTGGTTGGACTGTGCGAGTATAGGGTAAAAACGCTACGGGGCACCCAGGAAGTTACCACGATGTAGTAGTGTAGTAATAATCCAGTAATAATAATAGGTGAAAGTGACAGGTTGGATGGGAGTAAACCCCATGACAAACCCAGGTGGTCCGTAGAAAAAAACTTAAATGGATATTGTTTGATGTAGAGTCACACAAAAGAAATTGTATTTTTTTTAATATTGTTTGATGTTGAGAACACTTGTACTACAAGCTATGGGTTATCCGTTATAGTCGGAGTTTTTATACTGCGAAAAAGGTAGAAACATGATACTACGGATTTAAGTGTATAATTACTTATAAGAGAATTGAGAATATTCATCGTATAATGTAATTACTTATAAGAGAGAAGAGAATTGAGAATATGTATCGTATAATGATAATTGAACGCCGCTGCAAGCTGCAACAACAATAGCAATAGCTGTCGAACACACCCAACAATAGCATTCCAATATTATTTTATAGAACTTTTGTTGGATAGGATTAATAATTATACGAGTACGTATCACCAGCAAGGATGCCATCTTTATCATCCAAGTCAAGGAAATATAGGATTACCAAAGCATATTCGATGACAGTCCAAGGATCAGATAACTCATGTGAGTTAATTAGGATAAGCTTAAATAGTAATTAGAAATGTTAAAACTTGATATACTCCTCCATGTGTGCAAAATCCCTCGGAGATGAGATTCAAATGTTGAACAATGGCAAAAAAGTCAAAAGGAAAATCATTGTTGAACGAGACCTTGCAAAGCTGATGTTGCGTTGAATAACACTAATTAATTTAGACGAATGAACGACGAGTCTGATGCAATAATCCACTAGTTCTTGCTATATTAAATTAGAACTAATCACATGCATTACGTGCTCATGTACGCCACGTAAACCTGCACTACGATCGAAAATTGCTGTACGTCTCAAAAGTCTCGAAAGGATTGAGATCGAGATAGACCATCCACGACGACAGCATCTTCGAAAAAAGCTTAATTTATCAACTTGGAGCTAATTAAAGATCTACGTCATGTATGACCAATGCAAATGGATTGGATGGTGAAATATTCTAAGCAACATTTTTTTAACACTACACTTATTAACCATATATACTCCATCTGTGTTTTAATAGAGAATGCCGTCGACTTCTTATCAACGTTTGATCATTCGTTTTATCTAAAATCTTTGTACAAATATAAAAAATACTTATGTGAGCTTAAAAAACATTTAATGATAAATCAAGTCATAATAAAATAAATTTTAATTATATAAATTTTTTTAATAAAACGAATGATCACGTTAGTACTTAGTAGTATGAAAGGGTATGTGTTTTTAATTAGTTATCGCGCTTTATCGTACTAAAAGTTGAGCTCGTTTTGCTTTTTTTTTTTCTTTCAAGATTTCTGATGCACATAGCACGTATAGTCGAATGCAATAATCTGGCATATATGTGGCCATTAATGGACGCATTATTGAAAAGTTACATATGGTGTGGCCACTAAAATAAAGTACGCACACGCATGCATATAGCTTGGCAAGCAATACACTCTTGAGACAAATGCTTAGTTGGTCTTAAAATTAAAAGTAAATTTCAAAGAACCACAAATATTTTTGATCAAACTATAAAAGCTACATATTTAAGATTGTCACAAAACTACAGATTTTGTACGAAATCTATCAAAGAACTATAGATTTATTATACAAGTTTAGTAATAAAGTTATCAGAAAATTATAGGTTTGGTAAACAAAATATCATAAAACTATAGTTTTAGCGCCAATTTAATCTCAACACTTGGGTGTTTATAACTTAAATATAACATTAGTACTATGGATTTAAACCATATAATATGTAGTTTTCTGATAACTTTATTATTAAATTGTAGTTTGTCACGCCCCGAACTAGTCCCGAGCGGAACTAGCTCGTGACGCTCCAAATTAACCTGTTAACCGATACCAGTCCCAGGAAAACAGTGCTGGTATCACAGGAAGACAGAATATCACAGCAACAGAGGTCTCTTTATTATAGAGTAGGAGTACAGTCATGTTGGGCTGCGGACAGAACCCGAGCTCACAACTGCATTACAAAAGGGGAACGGAAGCCAGACTTGGACCAAACATCACAGGCGCGACTTGGGAACTAGGCCGAAATCCTAAAACTCATCGTAGCCGGCTTGCTCCTGGAAGAACTCCTCGTCAGTGGGATCCGCTTCATCTTCTTCAGCAACTGGGGGGATTATTTATATAGAGCAAGGGTGAGTACGGAAGTACTCAGCAAGCCATGGGAAATAAGTGTTTAATGCAGGCTTCAAGAAAGACTGTTTGTCGGTGACATGGGACCGGGAGTACTATGACTTGAGGCTTGGGCAGGAGCAATCACCCACGTGGCCTGACCCCCTCGGGGGGGTCGGGCCCGAGGGTGATATGGCCGCCCCCCTCTTTGTCTCCCCGAGGGGTCGGACCACTCCCGTTTCGGCCCCGAGGGCTGAGGCGCCCCGACCCCTTGTGGGTTTTGCGCCGCGTGTATGGGTTAGGTGAGCACAGCGGGGCTCACCTAACCGTATTTATTGCGGTTTAGACGAGCGCGTCACGCCACGCAGTGCAGCGTGCTCGTCTATCCGGTCTGTGACTGGTCACAGACCGATCAGATCGTGGGTTAGGTGGCGACAGGCGGTCTGACGCACGCCTCGCCCCATCCCGTCAGGATGAGAGCCTCCGAGCACTCGTCCCTAGCCGGAGCCGGCGTGTTAGCTCCTGAAGATGGCACGTTGGCCCCGGTCAGATATATGCCAGGCTTCATCCTAACCATTACAAGCAAGATATTGTATGAAGAAGGGCGAACATGCAGATTGCTAAACTGACACGTGGTGGACAAGAATGACCGATTTGTGACCGGTCTGACACTGGTCATGTTGTCAGCAGACAGCCATGTTCCCACGTCGCGCTTGCTTCCGACAGAAGTGGAGGTAGGTATGGGCCGTCCCATCAGAAGGTCATTCGGATGGCAACCATACAAATCTCCGTCCATTTATGAAGAGAAGGGAAGTCAAGTTGGAAAAAAAGATAGGATAAGTCCCCACACACAAAAGAGAGATGGTGCATGTGGTATCCCCTTGAGATATAAAAGGAGGACCTTGCCCACTTAGAGAGGGGGACGACTCTGGGAATACTGGAGCAGGAGAGGAAAAAAGGAAGAAGAGGGTTTCTAGAGTAAGGGCGCTCGGGCTCTCGAGCTCTTTGTAGCTTCTTCATACACAGATCCACCAAAACACAGGAGTAGGGTATTACGCTTCTCAGCGGCCCGAACCTGTATACATCGCCCGTGTCTTGTGTGTTTCCATTCTCGCGAACTTTCCGTCATCTTAGGAGCTTAGAACCTCACCCAGGGCCCCCGGCCGAACCGGCAAAGGGGGGCCTGCGCGGTCTCCCGGTGAGGAGCCCCACGCTCCGTCATCTGGCGCGCCAGGTAGGGGGCTCTGCGTGTGTTTTTCTAAGCTCTCGCATTCTTTCGTGTGCGCCAAGCTTTTCCTGTTTAGCCCAATGGCCGAACAAGCAAAGGCGCACAACCTCTCTCCGAGTGTTAGCGGTGACGACGGGGAGCCGAACCCACGCCGTCGATCTCGTACTCCACCGCCCCCTCCACGCCAAAGTCCTAGGCGGGAGGAGGCGCTCGAGAGGGTCGAAGGATCCGCGACTTCGACATCCACGGGTGATGGAGAAGGGCGGTGAGATGGGGAGCGTCGCCTCCTCGTCTACGGCGACGGCAGCACGCCCCAGGGCGCGCTCCAAGCTGCGGGCGCGCTCCTACGTCACCCGCCCGTCGTCCCTGACCCGGAGTCTCCAGCCCAACGTTGGCTGGACGACGTGGCCAACTTGGTCATGACGGCACGGCAGCGCCTAGGTGCTGGTGGGCGGTCCTCCGCCACCAAGACCTCTGGCGCTGCTACTACCGGCTCCGTGTCGTCAAGGCGGAGGGCGCGGCGAGCGGCGGCTATTGCTCGCCATTCGGCTGCCACTCCCTCGTCAGCGCCTCCGACCCGGGAAGATCTGCGTGGGGGGCCAGATGCCCGCATCGGCATCGAGCGCCGGCGTAATGGCCGACGTGAAGCCCACGCAACGGAGGGCGCCTCCTCGTCCAGAGTGTCACCTCAACACGGACGCGGGGATCAGCCCTCCGTGCCCCCGGTTGGTGGTGTCGGCTATAGAGCCTTTGTGGCGAGCCTTCGGAACGTCCGTTGGCCCCCAAGGTTCCGGCCCACCATCGCCGAAAAATATGACGGGAGCGTCAACCCCGCCGAGTTTCTCCAGGTCTACACGACCGGGATCGAGGCCGCCGGGGGTGACGACAGGGTCATGGCGAATTTCTTTCCCATGGCCCTGAAGGGACAGGCGCGGGGTTGGCTAATGAACTTGCCACCCGCGTCCGTCCACTCTTGGGAGGATTTGTGCCAACAGTTCACCATGAACTTTCAAGGCACATATCCGCGCCTAGGTGAGGAAGCGGACTTGCACGCAGTACAACGAAGGGATGATGAGTCACTTCGCTCGTACATTCAGCGGTTCTGTCAAGTCCGCAACACCATACCATGCATCCCTGCACACGCAGTGATCTACGCGTTCAGGGGGGGTGTGCGGCACAACCGCATGCTCGAAAAGATCGCCTCCAAGGAGCCCCAGACTACCGCGGAGCTTTTTCAGCTCGCGGACCGAGTGGCTCGTAAGGAGGAGGCATGGACCTGGAACTCCTCCGGTTCCGGTGTGGCAGCTTCGGCCGCCCCCGGATCCGCTGCTCGGACAGGGCGGCGTGACAGGAGGAGGAAGAAGAGGTCAGCCCATTCCGACGACGAGGGTCATGTCCTCGCCGTCGAGGGCGCTTCGCGGGCCACCCGAAAGGGGAGGCCTGCGAGCGACAAAAAGAAGGAGGCCGGCGCTCCCAGC